ATTAGATCTCTAGCTAGAGCATCTCCTTGAGGAATCCCTACTACCAACGCCATGCCTCACTCTCGCTCCACATGTATTAAATGGCGCATATAGGGTTGAGGGATTCCTGTAGAGATGGAAAGCTTAAAGATACATGTCGGTGATTCGTGCTGGTGCGGGGCCTCGCGTCACGTTTGCCCTGCGCCCAGGTTGCGGGAGCGGAAGTTAGAACTTGCTTTAATAGACAGCTAATACCGACATACCGAATCGGGTAGATTTAAATACATAATGAAGAAGAGCAGAACTATGCATTCTACATGACAGCTCTTAGATACGTAAGGCGCATAAAATTAGCACATAAAATAAATAATATCTAAAACATGTAAAAGTAACTAGAAGACTTCAATTTACACCACTAGATGGGTACCCGCGCCCAGTGCTAATCTTGATTATGGGGAAGCTTTGTATGGACAGGAGTTGACTTTGCCTCGCTCCTTGCTCGTTCAATGTAGAATAAAAGGATAGAGATAAAGTATAGCAAAAACAAGAAGTGAGGTTAGCCTTCGGGGCGTTACTCAACACAGATCGCTTACTTAGGCAATACTAGACATAAGGCGGGCGCCGCAGCCGTGGGCTGAGTAGAACCCGTACCCGAGGCGCTTGCAGTAAATCGCGCGGTTGCGGCAGAAGTGCTAGCACCACGATCACTGACACTCGTCTCGTGATCCGATGTAATGGAAGCACCAGCGTCGCATTAGAGATGGATAAGACTAAGAGGATGAGGAATAGTCGTTAGTCAGTAAGTGTCAAGATGGTTACATAAGTAGAAACATTGACTAGCTACCACACAACAGCGATGGGCAAACCCATCGCCCATGCAGGAGCTTGATGCTGTTGTATGGTAGCTAGGCAGCTAGGAGAGAGGACGCATATTTGTGATACGTATGTAACTACAAGGTTCGCCAGGCATAACCGGTATTGTTGCTCATCGCTCGGCTCCTCTTCTTCGGTAGAACCATCCTTGCCGAGCTGGCTTCCGGTAAGATAGTAGACGGCCTGCGGTTAGAGTGTCGCTGATGATAGTTAGTATAGTCAGAGTGAAAAATCGCCATGCCAGGCACTCCTTACCTCTGATTATGAACGATCGCCAGAATTTAGCTCCAGTGAGAGAGAGCCACTATTATACCAAAGCAGAGACCTAATAAGCGTCAGCCTTTCATCATCACGAAAAACCTGAGCAGGACTGATATGCGTGGACTTTTGGTCGTCCTTACAGGATGAGAAAGCCTGAAAGGAAGTACGACGGTGGCCTTAACTTCGTCTTGCTTGTCTTCTTCTTCTTCTTCGTCACCATTTTCCAGGGGATTGAAAAAATCGCCGATCAGTGCTTCCTTCTCGTTTTTCTTCTTCAGCTTTTTTTGGGCTCCGGCACCAACCTAGACAGAGAAGAGGGCAGCTGATGAGTACGTCATGAAAGTAAGTAATTCGTAGATGTTTCATTCATGAAAATATTTATTAGGTGAAGGAGGTTGCTCGTTAGGTCAGTCTGTGTAGCACAGCCACAAGTAGGAACCTTTTGCGCTTTTTGCGTCTGCTTACTTTTCTCCAATTTTTAGAGTGTGAAACTAGAGTCACATCCGTAGACTTCGAACCCATGATCCTGAGACCTTCTCCCAGAGTGAGAAGCGCAACAAAGTCTGTCAGGGTATGAGCATGATTGATCGTCAAAATGGATGCCACTGCAGTAGCCATAATTTTTCCAACGCAGCCAAAGCCTGACCGTCTCCAAAATTAGCGTGGGCTCGGGAAAAATTTCGGGAGACCATGCTATCTATATAGCAAAAAAAAAAAAAGCTTCGCTGGATTACATACAAGGATATGGAAGTAGGCCTTTTTCTCTTACTTTGGAGACAATCAGTCCGAAATAAATACTAGACTGACAGAGAGGAAGAGTGACGTGCTACGTGAATTGAGGCAAGTAGAAGCGTGACGCTGTAGCGCGTCTGCTCGATATAGGTAGGAGGCGACGCATCTAGGTAGTATATACTACCACAGGGTCACTAAACCACTCTCCCGAGCGGCGTCGCTTGGAATTGTGCAACGAACTGTCATACTGTAATAGGGGTAGGAGAGAATTGGGCCAAATAGCTTCATCCACATCACTTAGTCGGCCTCAATTGACTAGGTGAAGCAAAAGAGTAGCAATATAACTGAACTATAAAAATTATGCACCCAGCAGCATAGCACTAACCTCTTGGGCCCCGTCTTGCTCCTCCACCTGCTTCTTATGGGACTTCCACTTCTCATCCAGGTCTTCAGTCTTTGCGTCGACCTTCCGCAATTCCTGCATTAGAAGACGCACTACGAGGGGATGAGAGCGATAGTAAGAATTTCAGAAGGACTCCTTCGGAAATTGTGCTTCGATTGGCTTATCTGTGCCTGTACCACTCAGCGGCAAATGAAAGAATTTGGGACTATCAATGAAAAACGTTTTGAAGATAATCAATGATACTAAGTCCATAACTCGTCAGTCAGGAGCGGCGGCCTCCCCTCTGCGACCCACGGTTTGGGTAATTAGAAAGAGATAATGTCTTGCGTCGGCTCTAAGTAAATGCGCGCGGCTCGTAGAACAATCTACGTTGGGGAAAATTGACAGAAATTGAGAGGGATGGGGAGCAGTGATATATAGCGCGCGTTTTCGTTTTTTTTTGAAAATAGGTTGTAGACTGCAAATATGGCACGCGATGGCCCTGCCCCAAGCGTGTCTGAATGTTGAAAGGTAATCAAGTAGGAAGTGTAGCATGTACATCCAAGCCATAAATTGCTAGCCACTGTGTGGTCGCGCGATTGAATAAACTCGCGTCGTCTGTGTGATTTGTTTGGGGTCGGGGTAAGAAGACTAAGGATGGGGAAGCCAAAGTAGACGACCGAGCGTCTCCTTATGCAAGTCCTTGCCTATCCCTACTAGATGGGTGCTGTCAGAGGTAACAAGAAAGGTTTTAGAGAATGAACCAACAGCAACACGTAGAGCCTACCTATGTATGGGAACATGGTCAACATTCTTCGCACCACAATCATACTAGCAGGATGGTGACTTCTCTTCCTGATACACAAGAGGAGTTAGAAACTGCATACACAAAGGGAGGACTGGCCATGTAAAGGACTTGCTTGCTTTTAGATATATGCTAGGCATGAAGGAGGGAACCAGAGCTGCTCCATAAAGATTAATCTGCGATGTACCCAAACGATTCGTGAAAGCATCTAGCTGCGGTTAGAGTAGTTACATATACATACCACGGAATTATAATAATTATCTTTCGGTGGCGCACTTTCTCCAAACGCAGTGATTGTAGATATGGAGAAAGTGAGCTTTTATGAATGAACTCACTGCCACCATAAAAGTTGTGGATTTCTTTGATGCAATTAGAAATGTGCATCTTCTGTATGGGCCTGCGCCCACGCCATTTTTTTCCATGCCTTGGGACAACGAGAGCGCAGCTCGGACGGCAGATTGGTCGCGGCTCGCAGAAGATGCATCTTCTTAACTTTCGCGGACCAAGTGTGCTTGCAACATTAGAAATTGCTCATCCGGGCAGAAGTAAGAGCTGTCTGGTTTTTTTTTACATAGTGTAGATGTTTTATTCAGTACTGTAGCGATTCCCTGACTGCGATCCCCTGCGATGGGACATTCATAGGAAATAAAAAGTGCATAAAGTAGGAAAAAGTCTAATAAATTCTAATAGAAATGTCCCTTGGTCAGACTCAAGCCCTGGGGCGCCGTCTTTAGCTCTACTACTAGCAAGAATTTCTGGATAGATATCGACTGCCGTGCATAATTGTAATACTGGGGGTGTCTGTGTGTGTGTCTGTGTGTGTGTCTGTGTGTGTGTGTCTGTCTGTGTGTCTGTCTGTGTGTCTGTCTGTCTGTGTGTGTGTCTGTGTGTGTCTGTCTGTGTCTGTCTGTGTCTGTCTGTGTCTGTCTGTGTCTGTCTGTGTCTGTCTGTGTCTGTCTGTGTCTGTCTGTGTCTGTCTGTGTCTGTCTGTTTGTGTGTCTGTTTGTGTGTCTGTTTGTGTGTCTGTTTGTGTGTGTGTTTGTGTGTGTGTTTGTGTGTGTGTTTTTGTTTTTGTTTGTGTGTTTGTGTGTTTGTGTGTTTGTTTGTGTGTGTGTGTGTCTGTGTGTGTCTGTGTGTGTGTCTGTGTGTGTGTCTGTGTGTGTGTCTGTGTGTGTGTCTGTGTGTGTGTCTGTGTGTGTGTGTCTGTGTGTGTGTGTCTGTGTGTGTGTGTCTGTGTGTGTGTGTGTCTGTGTGTGTGTCTGTGTCTGTGTCTGTGTGTTTGTCTGTGTGTTTGTCTGTGTGTGTGTCTGTGTGTGTGTCTGTGTGTGTGTCTGTGTGTGTGTCTGTGTGTGTGTCTGTGTGTGTGTCTGTCTGTCTTTCCAGGTGTGCGGACACTTTTTTTTTTTCGGGGAGGGGGGGGTCAAAAAAAAATTTTCCCAGCGGTTTCTGGCAGGGCAAGACACTGCCAAGAAGAAGCGCAACGCCCTGGGCCCCGCAGAACCCGCCCGCGCTTTGTTTTTCCTCCTTTTTCTTATGTTTTTGGGTAGCGGCCTAAGCATAACTAACAGAAGTTTTTTTTTTTTTTTTGGGGGGGGGGGGGAAAAAAAAATTTTCCAGCAACTGGGGACCTGTGTGCCGTTGCCCCAGGCGTGTGCAGGACCAACGAACCAAAGCGCCCTGGCGTGCGTGTTTTGGTATTTTTAATAATACAAACCCAAAGCCAATGGGCTTGGACCAATTTTAAGGAAAACTGAAAATCAAAAAAACAACAATTCAGCCGGTTGAGGCACTTCGCGCCTTTGTGGTAGTTAAGCCTTACAATACTTATCGCGCCCTGAAGAGCGTAACTGGAGTTGTGGCCCATCTTTTTGGATGTCCAGTAGCATGGAAATCCACCCCGCAAAGCGTGATGGCGCAAAACACGACGGAGGCAGAGCGGGTTGCCTCTAGCAAGGGAAGGCCATTGAGATGGCGGAGGGGCCACATCTTCTTCTTCAGTTTCTCCGCGGGAGAAGTGAGCTAGAGCAAGCAAAAGCGCAAGAACCTGATGCAGGTGCCATCTTATGCGATAATCGCAGTGCGGTTTTATCAGGACGGAAACCGCGACAAGAACTCAATCGATCAACTAGGCACATAGCGACTAGGCGCGGCAAAGTCCTCGAACACGGACAACGAATAGCGTTCGTCCCCACTCAAGAACAGCGTGCTGACGCACTCGCCAAAGCATCGAATTCAGACGAGGCGCTTCGAATCATCCTCCCGCAAGACAGAAAAAGGAGCATGGCGCTTGAAGCTCAAGAAGCGGCGGACTTTGTGGCTTGTTTCCTCGAGATCCCATAGCTTGCTGGGTGGTAGCACCCAGAGACGTTGATGTGTGCCAAAGGTCCAAAATTCGATCGGGACCATGGGTCCGGAAAAATGGCCCCAAGGCGCAAGGACTTGCGCTGTAGTCTGTGAAGCTCTCGAAAGTATTAGGTGTTGCTAGTGCCTGATGGCCTCTGTTTCTGTCTGTATTTTGATCTACAAGATGACAACGATGACTACGAGACTCGAACCTGTGATGAAATGACTCCAAGAACAAAAGTCCAACACGTAAATCACTTGACTACTTTCAACAATGAAAAATGCAAAAAAACGAAATATGACATATCTGGCACAATATAAGAAGTAACTGCTGGGTGCCACTGTTTTGACCGTAGACCCATGCATTTGAACGCTGAAACATGAAGAGTAGGCTTGGTTTTCTTCCAGTTTTCACACCCTAGCACATGTAGGCGTAAAATAGAACGCACTTCGGTAGCTTTGGTTGGTTTAGTTGGTTCGATTTTCTTGCTTTTGGTGCACGATGATTGCATCGAAGGGGGGAATGTCAGGCCGACTGAATCATAGTGCTGCCATGATCCTCTGATGTCTTGGCCTTCCTCTCTGGTGTCACTTCAGGCTGTGAGAGCCTAGGAGTTTGGTCGAGTGTCTACGATCTGAGGCAACCATCCAAAGTGATCCCCTTGCATCAATGTCAGTGAAGTGGTCTACTCCAATCGTATCGTGCATCTTTTCCACGTGAATCACCTGCGTTCGAATCCATGAGGGTGAGCCTCTTGCTAATACTTGAACCACTACGAAATCCGTACGAAAGCACATGCAACGACGAGACAGCTAGACCAAAGCCTTGTGATGATGGTGCTCCATCTTTGCCATGATTTCACTACCAGACACGCAGTGCCAGGTAGTCTGAGTAAACTGACAAGGGCTCCCTTGGGGCAATAGCTTGAATAGCTTCGCGGCCAGCGTGTCGATAGAATCGTTCCCAAATGTATATACATCACCAACTACAAGCAGGAGAGGAATGATCTAGCTACCGAGCAGCTGTTGCACCGCCTGCGAATCAATGGTCGTGAAGCGCGGCGCATCACTGAGAACTCGCGCAGCGCCTTCTTGAATGATCTGAGTGAGAGAGAAGATCTATCATAGACCTCCCGGAGGTGTTCGAAGATAAGGAGGACGAGTGGGAGCAGCAAGTCCGCAAGTTGTGGCGGGAGGGTCTGCGCGAGCTGGAAACGCAGGCGCCAGGCCGTAACCTGGCCGACGGCAATCCCACTACTTACCAGCAGCGCGCGACTGGCTTCCTCGCCGGCACTTTTGCTACCATGTTTGCGCGTCACGTCAGACAACTAGTACAGACGCGCGAGGCCATCCTCAACAGTATGGACATTATTTGTTTACCAGTGCCTTCTTCTGCTTCCAAGAAGAAGAAAGACAGGTCGCCTCGCAATAACGGTGGTGGATGTGGTGGTGGTGGCGGTGCCACTGACCGCGACAGCAGTGGCGCGCGCCGTGCGTTTGTGTTGGCATTTTTGCAAGACCGCGCTGTGCTCCACCAAGACGCTCCGCAAGAACGGCAAGACCTTTTGCGAGAAAGGTCTCCATCCGGCTAAGGGCGACACTTCCCAATCCGAGCACGACAAGGCGTGCAAGGGTGGCCTTGGTAGGCGCGTCCTAGGTAAGACGGACTTCGAGAGCAGGGCCAAGAGCACCAAGGTCGAAGCCCGATCGTGTTCGCCGAAGCGTGACGAATAAGAGATCTGCGGACGAGGAGACGTAGAAGTCGATCGCCCAGCGAGGAAAAGTGAACGGCTTCACTAGTAGCATTTGCGTCGTTCCATCCACTCACCAAGTTCGTTGTCTTTTTTAAGCAGCACTGTCTGCACATTAATAAAAAACTCAAACTCTTCCATTTTGCCGCTATCTGATCGACATACTCCTGTCTGTTGTTACACTTTCAGTATTGTGATATTCCTTCGCTTTGCATGTTCAGTTTATTTCTGTTGTCGTTTTCACCACCCATTTCTTGCTCTGGTCGTACTTGATGCTTATGTCTAAAGTACTATCTCAGTTTTTCGTTACCCATTCTGTCGTTTACTTCAACTTTCTTCTGACGTCTGTCAGATCACTTGTATGAGCATTTGAATTCTGCACTCTCTAACATTCTTCACTTATAGTTCTACTCTGCACAATTCTGATTCATTCTCTTTCCATTCTTCCGTCACATCTCAGTTTCCTTTCCACAAGTTTTTCAGCTTGGATTCAAGATCCAGATAGTACCAGTTGGCTGCCAAGCACGGAGCACCCGGCAGTTTCCGAAGGCTACTCTCCTTCGCTAGTGCTTTCCCTTTTTTAAGTTGCTACCCGCGTATTTCAGTTTTTCGAATACAGTACTACTTGAAGCAAGTCCGTGCCACCCATGCAAAGCATGCAGGCCATGCAATACACTTAAGAAAGAAGTCGCAAAGGAGCTGCGCTCCCCATTGTGGCGCTGCGCGTGTGAGAGTTTTAGACGGAAAAAACTTCACTGGCGCTGACTGACAGGTGGGGCATTACGGTTGCCGTTTCTCATTTGCGACGCCGTCGCCAATAGATCCTAAGGCGCGCGACGTGCTTTTCTTGTGGTTTTTTATCATTCTCGTGGCCTTTCGCTCACCGTGCGTCGGGTAGCCATGCATTCGACCGCGGGGGGGCTAGCGTGGAGCACTGGCGACCTTACTTGAGGCAAATTATTCGCGCAGATTCGTGCCCTTTCGTTCTGACTCGCTGCCGGTTCAGGCTTCTCCGCGCTGTGAAGGTGCCGCAGGTGTGTGGTTGAGCGAGTTTGGGTGTCTCGGTGCTTAGGCATGTGGCTGGCGTGAACGCATTTGCTCAGGGGCTGCGCAGCTTACGCGTGGCATTATCGTCCCGCGATAGTGATTCACGTCTACGCGTTTGCACTCGTGTGCATATACTCTCTTACTTTCCTTTCTGCCTCTCTTTTGTGCCTTCGCCGAAGCTCTTGCCTCAAACTCGTGGCGGGTTTGCCGCAGGGGCCTGAGGCTCCCTCGGCGCAGCTTCGCGACCGCATTCGCCTCACCCGCTCCGACCGGCTCCTTGTTCTGTCCCTTAGCTAAGGCGCCTATGCTCGCGCCTTTATTGTGGTCTGCTTGCTTCCTCGCGCTCTTTCGCTCATCGTGTGTCGGTGATCTATTCAGCAGCGATGGCCGCGGGCTAGTGCGGGAGGCTGGTGATCGTGGGCAAACGAAACTAATTAGTGCCCATGCCCCCGTCCGGCTGACGGTCGAGCTCATTTGTGCGGACAAGGACAAAGAGGCCCAAGGGATCGAACAAAAGCGAGGTCACTTCGGGGGATGAGGCGCTTGCGCTTCTTCTGGGGCGGAGGTTGCTAGTTAAGTGGGCAGAGAACTCACCGCCGCCAGCGTCTTCGCTTCAGCCGCTCTTGCCAATTGCGTGTTGGCGTTTTGATGACTTCGTCCATGATTGTGCGTTTTTGGCTGCGTTGCGTTCATTGCATACATAGGGCAAGCCACTATCTCATTAAAGGCGACACGCCTTGATCCGGTCCCGGTGCAAAAGATAGAAGCGTGCCTCAGACTGACCGTCGTAGTTGTTTTTTCATTCTCTCATATAATTTTCAAGGTGCCTCCAACATTCTGAAGGCCAAACTTGTTACAACTTGCAATGAACGTAAGTAAGTACTTTACTCATGTGGGAACTCTGGGGTCCAAGTGGCTCGTGGCTTATCTGCTTATGGAAGAGTCCCAACATTTATGGTAGATCGTAGCGTCTTGCTGGGCCAATATTTCTGGCTTCTTTCTCGTGCTTAGTGTCATACATGGGGATGCGGCGCATCTTCTTGTTCGCAGTTTCAGTTTTGTGGCTACTTTGGGCACACAAGAGCCGCCGATGTTTTTTTTTCCACCGCAAGATAGCGATAGGGGGGTCAAGTGTGCAAACCAATGTTGCTGCGCCTGCGGGTATCACACAAGAAAAGCGCCTTAGTGATTCTCTTGCAAATCAGCGGCCCGCGCAGACAGAGCTTCTGCCCGATCATAAGAACACGACGCTCGAGCAGAGTCTTGTCCAAGAGAACGAGCTAAAGGCGTCGTATATCAGAATCGCAGAGAAATGCGGACTGCCATCGCTGGAGGACGGCGTCGATGGTCACGGGAAGATGTGCGCGGATTTTTGGAAAAAGCCGAACGAAAAACTCGTGCGCGAGGCGAGTTTTTTTATTAGCCTGCAAAACGAAAGCGCGCTGCGCGGGTTCCGGTCGCACATCGAGGCTACAACGGAATCTGGCGAAGTAGTTGAAGGCGTGCTTGAATCCAATAGCAGTCTCGTGTCGTCGTTGTTGGCTAAAGACACGCCGAAGAACATTTCTGGGAATCGATTTGGTGCGGTGGGTTGTACGTTGGCGCATCTGCGCGTCGTAAAGAAAGCCTATGAGCGAAAGCATTCTATTGTGGTGATTGGTGAAGATGATGTCTCGCTTGGTTTATGGCCATTGTGGACTTCTAGCATTGGATCCTTTCTGGCAGAGCTTCCATCAGGGTGGCACGCGGTTCAGCTGACTTCTGTCGGCACACATCGAAATGCTGGCGTGAAGTATACCGCAGACACAAGGACGCAGTGGGGGACTGGCCTTTATGCGCTCTCTCGCTCGGGAATCGAGATTCTGTATAAAAGGTTTTTCCGAGCGGGACGCGTTACATTAGCCGAGCTGAGGACAAGGTGCCGGCCGCTTGTCGCGGACGACTGCGTACTAGGATTCTCGCCAAACCGAATCGCGAACTGGCTTCCCGGTGGCAAAAGGCTTCTGCCTCTCCAGTGGAGGGTTGAGCCCCCTTTTGCTGTTGTCCTCCCTCGGCGTGGCATACACGCCCCGAATCGGCAGATGTGCCAAATTGCGAAGCTGGCTTTGGAAAATTGCCGGATGTATCTGAGAATGCAGGCTACCAACAACTCCGCCGTACCGTCAGGGGCTACCGAACATCTTCGGAGCACGGGGGCTGCGGCAGCGACGCGAGGCGTTGCCGCCGCCCTTAACGAAACGGCGCATATGCGGCAATGGGATTCGAATTGCGGCTGTACTCCAGCGAAAGACCTACCGAAAAGGAGTACCAATGGGCAATGTACACCGTTCCATCCGGATCGCCCCGATCTGGCTCGTGTAAAACGGACTGAAGCGGGCCTCGATGTGAGTGTCTATCCGCTTCTTGTGCGATACTCGCCAAAAGGAAACCAAACACTGGAAGAGGAGCTGCGTGTCAACATATCATTACGAACGGCCGACCAGTATTTTCGCACTCCTGTGACTTTGTCGGAGGTTTTTCTGAAGTTTGTGGCGTCGGGTAATAAATCGCGGCCGCGTGAGAAGTTCGCGGCGCCGATCAGTGGGCTCCGTGGACCATGATGCACTGGGTCCGCCTTTTCTGTAGGGCACACGCAGGCCCATGTGGGCCTCGCCTCCTTGTGGGAAGTCGCGGCGTGCTGGGTTGGCATGATAGCGGTCTCAGACAACCGGGGAGGGCTCTGGCGGCAGAGCTGAGGGCGGCCTCCGCGTTGTGCGGCTGCTTCCTTCATGTTGCTACGAAGCGGAGTAGGCGCGCTCTGCGTTGTGGGGGGTGTTCTCGGGTGGGGTCTTGTTTGTGTGCATGGGTTTCAAGCGGAGAAGCGTCTGGCGTAAGTTTCCTGAAATTTGCGCCGCAAGTTTGTTGGGAGTTTGCTGAAAAGCTGCCGAAAAGACGCGAGCTCAGAAGTCATCCAGAAGGGCCGCTGGTTGGGGTTAGATTCTTGCGGTGTGCCACAGCTTCGGGCAAACTTTTTAGAAACTTTTGACAGGTTTCCCACTGTTCTCGGCCTCGCTTGAGAAAGGGCAGCGACGAAGCCCGGGCAACTGCATTGGCCAAACTCTGCCGCCTCGCACTGGCTGCGGACGTCGTGGCCGGCGTGCATAGTAGTCGCGCCACCTGCCCAGTGTCGACGCGCGCGCCTGGCTTGAAGGGAGGGACGCACGCAGCAGGCCGGCCCTTTGTGGTAGAGACTCGGGGCCAGGCGACGGGTGCCCGTACGATTTGCGCCCCCTGATGTGGCTTTGGCTTTTGAAGATCGAAAATCTCAAAACGAACTTTGGTGATATTTCTCAGTAGCGCTATCGGGTTCGACCTTCAAAGGCCAGCGGCCCTTGAGGATGGAAGGCCCCGGACTGGTGTGCGGCCTTTGGGGATGGCCTTCATTTTGAGGATCCGACCTGAGACAAACCCGCCGCCGGATCTTCAAACTGAAAACTGTCTCTAACTGGCTTGTGCAGATGGTTCTCATTTTGAGGACCCGACACGAGACACACCTTTGGCAGATCCTCAAAACGAAAAGCATCCGCAAAGATGAGCTGCTTTTTGAGTAGCCCTGCGCATTCGGTATATTCTACTCATTGAGTAGACAGAGATACTGGGAAACTACCGCAAAAGCCACTGGGTTTGAAGGATAGTGTCCATTTTGAGGATCCGCCAGTTGGTTCGTGTTGTGTCGGATCTTCAAAATCAAACCCCATCGCAATCGAAAGCCAGCAGGAGTGGCTTTTGAGGGCTGACCTCGGTAGTGCTACTGAACTACTGCTGACCTCGGTAGTGCTACTGCCTCAGGGTTCGCTTTTTCGATCTGGCTCCTGAGAGTCGAACCCAGTGGCTCTAATGAGAAAAGTCCGCAAGTTTCGTTTTGACGTTTTCGACTATCGCAAGCCGATGGCCTTTGTGGATCGTTCTCGGTACGTAGCGTTGCGGAGGAATGGCCCCAAGTTTGCTGCAATCGTAAAAGCCGGCGGCTTTTGTTGATTCTTTTGCGCAAGTTTCAGGGTGTGGCCCCCAATCCCCGAAAGCCACTAGCTCGCGCGGTGTGATGTTGTCAGAGAGAGTGGCGCGGTCCACGAAAGCCCCCAGCCCCTTGTGGTTTGTTGTGCGGGCGCTCTCTTGTCGACTGTTCTATGTTGTGCAACTTCCTTCACTAGAGCTACTCTAATTGTTCCGCTCGTTTTGAAGTGGGTTCTGAAAGTCGTTAAACTGTCGAGAAACTTCCTCGGCTTGCAAAGGGAAAACCAACCGAGCCGAGCGCGCCAGCGGGTGAGGTTTAGCCGTGCAAACTCTCGGAAGGCGTTTGGCGTGTTTTTGTTGCGTTTTTTGTTTGGCGAGGCAGTGCTAGCTTTCGTGTGTTTTGAACATTCTCGCGGGCCGTGTCTGCCACTGGTGGCCGCGCGCTGGGATTCGGGGGCTGCCCACGGGGGGCAGTTCGTCTTTGCGGGTCTCTCTGTGGGATTGATGTCAAGACGGGGTCTCTGTAGGTGACGCGTGTCAACATCTGGCCCGAGCCGGATGGTGTCCTGATGTGTTGAGGGCTTGGCATGTGGGCTTGGTTCGGGTCATCCCTTTTCTGGGAACTTGCACTCTCTGGCGTCGCATCGTGTGCCGTCTGGCATCCCGCGGCGCAGGTCAAGCTTTGGCGTCTGTGGAAGTCTTGCGAAGGAGGGTAATCGGAGCACCCACTTCCGTGCAGGGGTCCACGTAATATCCGGGCACTCTTCTTAAGATCACTCTGCTTAGTTGATGCTGGTGGCCTCTGTCTAATATCAAGGAGAAAAGTGCCAGTCGTCGTGCCGAGGCTGTGCGACGGTGAAGCGCCGCTAGCCATTGTGGGTGTGTTTACCACAGCCTCTGGAGATATGCAAAGAAAAACGCATCGGGCCGCGGGCAGTAGGAGCCGCCATCCGTGTGTCTTGCAAAGGTATGTTATTGGCACAAAAAGGCTTACGGCTAGCACCCTCAAAGCCTTGGCGGCAGAAAATGAGACGCATCAGGATTTGGAGTACCTGGAGCAAACAGTGGAAAATATGAATAGAGGCAAATCTTTGGACTGGCTGCAAATCGCTTTCCAGAGGTTTCCCCACGCCACGTACATAGCAAAGCAGGACATTGATAGCTTCTTGCATGCTTTAAACCTTTACTCCTGGCTTTCTGTCCTGCCGGTGCAGCGCTTGGTTTATGGTGGCGATTGCTCCCACAAGCTACCCACGACAAACAAAGTGTGGCCATCACTTCGGGCGACAAACTGGTGGACGTGCGGAGAGTTTTATCTGTTTACCCGGGATGTTATTGAGAGGAAAACGGCACTCGCATTCAAATCTCAAAAAAGTTTTCCAGTGGGGTAACGCGCGCAAGACCCTGTGTGCGCAATGATGGGCAGTGTGGCTAGTGAAAGCATGGGGCCGAAGAGTTCCCACGCAGGACCACACGCCGCGCAACACCTCAAACCGCGCGCCATCACGTATCCACAGGCGAATGGCCCACAAATGCCAGAAAAAACGCAGGGCAGGCGCGCCGGTTGGTTGTGGCTTGTCTTGCAGCCACGAGGCAGAACCAAACGACGGGCAAACTGCTGGCAAAAGTCGGGGAGCCTTGTGCCCGCTTTGGGCGCTTGTCCCTGTGGGGGTTGCACCATGAGGGGTGGGGGGCAGCGTTGCCGGCTGACTGTGATGAGGGAGAGGGGAGGGGACTCGGGATCTTGGTGGCAAGTGTTGAAAGTCTGCGGCCAAAGGTGCGACGGGTGGAGCCTGTCGACTTCTCACTCTCAACATGATCGACGTGGCGACGCGCATCATGATGCGCGCGGCGATGCGTCCGAAGATCGATGCTGGGTGTGGATTTGAACGCCAGCGCATGGATTTGAATACCTTGCCCGGCATGGTCCACGATAGGGGTTCGAATACCAGGGCCAAACAGTGGCCGAATTCTGGAGGTTATTCGCCCCGAGGCTTGCCCGTTTTGAAGGTTACAAATTTCACCAAGCAGATCAGGGGTCAACTGGGTTCGGCCTTTTGTGCAGATTTTTGCGGTTCGTTTTGGTATTCACGCATGTGGCGACGCATATCGTCACAGTCGCGGTGAAGCGTGCCAAGATCGACGCGCGGACCTGAATGCCAGCGCATGGGTTTGAATTCTTCGCCCGGAATGTTGGTCCACGGTGGGGGTTTGAATACCTACCCCGAAGCCCAGGGGCTTCAAAGCCATCAGGGGTGCCCAAGCGCCTGGGGTCACCTTGCCGCGGGTCTCTGCGGCAAGCGGTGGGCTGGCTGGCCTGCCGTTCGCGGCTTGGTGGTCTCCCTTTGTGTGGCCATGTCGCGACCAGCGCCGCCAGCTCTCGACGCTAAAGATGGCGGCCTCTGGAGATTTTTGGTCATTTGCTCAGGGTCGCGCCTTCGCTCCTCGCATGTGGTGCGGCCCATCGTCTGTCGCTCCTCAGGAGTTGCTGACGGCACCGCGCCCGCGCGGTCCATCGTGTGGCCCAAAGCCCTGGCCATAATTGGACGGCGTCGGCTCATCTGATGAGCGGCCGGGCCGGGTGATGCATAAAAACGAAAGGGGTTCCACATGGGCAAGGCCTCAGGGTCAGGGGTTGGCTGTGTGGTGTCCAGAGGGGAACCCTCTGCGCCCGAAGCGCCAGCAGGTCGGGGCCAGGCGACCGCCCTCCCCAGATCGGGGGGCCCCTCTCTCCCTCTCGCTCCTCAGGAGTTGGGGCCGCCCTCGGTGGCTCGTTGACTAAGCTAGCACGCTGCGCGCCTCAGATGGTAGCTGAAGCAACTAAAGACACAACTTTTTTGATTTTTGAATGTGAGTACTCCTTTTCTCGTGATAGATGTAGTAGAGCGGATGACTGAAGGTCCTGATTGGAGGAGGAACCGAATTGGAGCAGAAGACGGCGTTGTGTCGCGGCAGGTGAAAATGGCAGATCTGAAAACGCTGCATGTCGTTTCAGATTGGTACCGACTCATCGACTTCCCCAATACGTGCCCAGAGAGTCGCTATTTATGGGATCAGCCGCTTGGGCGCAACGCAGAAGCAGTTCTGGTGCATCAACTGAAGAAAGCCCATCAGTGGGATGCCCTTCTGAAATGGCTAGACGCAACTCACAACGGAACCAAGCCGTGCCCGCAGCGTATAGGAAACGGCCCGCACGATGTTGAGTCTGAGACGTTTGCACCAGGGCCAGAGGCAAGCACGAAATCGACGACGGCAGACGCCGCACTCGATTTTGCGACAAGGCTGCGAAGCTTTGAGAATGTGTCATGGGGCCGCGGTTCATTTATCGACGAAGCCTTCTGGGATAACTTGTGGAGCGCTGCCGAGTCAGACACGATATGTACTGGGCATCTTATTCTCTCGAGTTTTTTCAACGATCGACAGTACCAGGCCAGGAGCGGATGGGGCACACAGGATAGAAGGTCCGTTGGTGGGAGGCCAATCGGAGATCTGGAGCCGACCAAGAGATTTCGATTTGCGGAAAGGTGGTGGAATTCAGTGAGAAACAGTTCAATATGTGGACTTGTGTTGACTGATTTCCCCGAGCTAGAGGCCCATAACAGTGAGCGCGTTCGTGCCGTATCGGTAAACTACGGCAAAGCCCGCAATGCATTCAACCGAGTGTATGGGTCGAACGACGTGCGCTTTTTTTTCTTTCACGAGGTACTCACTTTTGCGGAGGAATTTAGATACGTCTGGATGGCGGATTTGTTCGATGTTATTGTGTATGATGTCGAAAACTATACTCATACTCAAAAACTTGAAAAGTTATTTGCTTGCCCTAACGCAGACAGACAGCAGACAGGCCAGCATAAGGAGCCACGAACAGAAAGTAGCCAACGGCAAAAGCTGTGGATGAACATGAAGAAAGCCGGAGCCCGGCGCAACCAGCGAAGCCCAAGCAGGCGCCCACTGCGAGTCTGCTGAGGCCAGCGCCTAGCCCCTACGATTGCGCGAGGCGATGGGGCCTCTCGGCGAAGCCAGGCGCCCTGGTGTCTTGGCTCGCTAAGCGAGGGGCCCGGCGACGTCACCTATGGGGCCAAAGCGAGTGCCCCACAGCTTGGACGCCTACACGGGTCCAGGCAAGGCGCGCCAAGGTATATATGTCTCAGGGCCTTCCGCCCTGTGGTGGCGCCTCTTGGGGCACTGCGCCCTAACCCCTCCCTCCCTGTGGTGCGCTCGGTGGTGCCCTCGTGGTCTATACATGAAAAAGCGGCGTTTTGACTGGTTCCCCTTTTTATGAGGAAACGAGCCAGGCCGCCCGCCCTCGTGCTCCATACATGAAAAGGTGACGCCTTCACTGCTCTGCCCTCAAAGGTGGGAACCAGTCAAAGGAGGGAGGGCGGGTTCGTGGTCTATATGTAAAAAAGCGTGTGTTTGTGTAGCTCGTTAGAGTTCACCGGTGTCGTGCGCCAATGGGGGCGGGCTAGTATATATGACACCAGGGACAGCCTGGCACAAATGTCCTCGCCATGTTAGTCGTCAACTTCGGAAATTTCGGAAAAAGCGCCGAGGAGCTTAAACCGCGACCGAAATGCTCAGGGGTATTTCAGTCGCAATTTTTGGTCGTCAATTTCAGGCAAAGCAAGAACAAGAAAAGCGCCCAGCTTCCCTCGTGTTTTGCGCCGATTTGTTGGATCATCGTGGGAGCTTGGCAAATTTGTACGAACTTGCCGAACCCCCATGAAGTTCTGGAAAAGAAATCTGATGACTTGAACGGTGCCGCCGTTTGTGTTGTTTGTATTGTTGTCCCGCTTGTGCACGCTTGTACTCCTTGCACGCCTTGCGCAATTTGTGCACGCTGTACACCTTGCGCATCTTGCACACCTTGCGCACCTTGTGCACGTTGTACACCTTGCGCACCTTGTACACCCTGCGCACCTTGTGCACGTTGTACACCTTGCGCACCTTGTACATCCTGCGCACCTTGTACACCCTGCGCACCTTGTACACCTTGCGCACCTTGTAGGTACACCTTGCGCACCTTGTGCACCTTGCGCACATTGCACACATTGCACACCTTGCGCACCTTGTCCACCTTGTGCACTGCAGCTCGTAAACCTTGCGCATCTTTTACACATTGCACACGTTGCACACGCTTGCGCCGCCTGCACTCCCCAAGAGTCTTGCTTCTCGACGCAAAGTAAGGTAGCGCCTGTAGCTCAGTTGTATTGTTTAGCCTTTCGCCGTGTATTCTCGTCGACGCGCTTTTGGCGAAAAAGTGCAAAAAGTGACAGCGATGACAGCCCGCGTAGAATGAAAAGCCGCAACAAATCGCGGTGGCGTTCTTGAATGTGGTAGCCAAATTTATGAACGAGTGGCCATCCTCGCTTTGCGAGTAGGGGGCCCCGCTTCTCTTAGGGAGGGCTAGGGGGGTGGTGCCTCAGGCTTTGGGCCATGGTTTTAGTTATATAGATATGAAGCACCGAGCTCGGCCTTTTTATTGCAGAAAAAGTTCTAGAGAAAGTGCCCAGACGTGTCGCCTTAGAGCGACGCGCTTAAAGCGACGCGCTGAAGACGAAGCGCCTACAGCGAAGCGCTTAAAGCGAAGCGCTTAGAGCGACGCGCGTAGAGCGACACGCTTAAAGCGAGGCGCTTTTGGCGATCCACTTACAACGAGGCAGCGACGTGCCGACGCTCTCCGAGTTTTGGGGTGGTGATCTGGTCGACACCACTTGGACAAGTTGACCACTTTACGCCCATCTGCGTGCGTAAAGTGGTCAACTTGTCCAAATGGTCAAGCTGCTAAGTTTGGGGCTATACCCATCATCGGTGGGATGGCTTTCCTGACGTCAGCGGTGGTTCGCCTTGGACAAGTTGACCACTTTGCGCACACCTGCGCGCGTAAAGTTGTCAACTTGTCCAAGTGGTCAAATTATTCAGGTTGGGGCTATACCCACCGCGAGGCGAGTTTGTTCATTTTACGCCCCTACACGTGCCGGGTGTGATGGAAGGATGGAAAGAGACGGCCTGCTAGACCCTTGCTTGCTCAAACCTCTGAGCAATTTGACTCGAAGCCCTATCGTTTGGAGCCTATCATTTAGGGCGGCGCCCTCTGCGCCGCAAAAAGCTAGCCCCGGTGGCGCTCTCAGTGCCGCCGTTAAGGGCTAGCATTTATATAAGCACGTGCCCGCAAAGCATGGCGCAGCTTGGTGGTTGGTCTTTTTGACTGCTCGGGAGAGGTGGAGGCCTGCGGGCTTAGGTAGCCCCATGGGCCTCAGGCGATGGAACGAGCCGCACGGACAGCGATGGAACCCCGAAAAGCACGCCGCATGGATGCAGCAAGGCTGGCAAAGTGGTGGCGCTTGTGTCGTCTTCAGGTGTGTGGGCCGATTCACGTGGGAACTGCTAGCGACACTCTCTGGGTCTTCAAAGCGGCAGAACGTAGAGCGGAGAGGGGTCCGCGTAGGGGTCTTGTCAAGGTGTATCCAGCGTCCGCGCCAAATCCTTGCGTCCACCCTTTCGAAAAAAAAAGGCATTGAATACACTTTGACAAGGTCCCCTCTTGAAGTTTTTCCCCTCTACATTCTGAATGCTCGCGAAAGGGTGACCAGCTGCGCGCAGGTGAGGTTGTAACTTCGGGGGAGCTGGCCCAACGTGTCAGCAGCCTCCAGAGGTATGCGCGTCCAAAAATATTCAGCGCCCGCCTCCGAGCCCATGGCTGGGCTCACCCGTGTGCCCCGGCAAGGGGTTGGCGAGTCCTTGGACCCGTCTGGAAGTCTTCTGGGCCTTCTGAAGGCCAGAACAAACACGGCGCGGGATAAATAGAAAAAGAGGACAAACGAAGGAGAAAGGAGCGCAAAAACACAAACGGGAAAACTAGGTGGAGAAACGCTAAGGAAAAGGAAAGCGGAGAGGTGCGCGCAGGATAAACAGAAAACGCGAGGGCAAGGGCGCAAAACCAACGAAAATTTTAACAGCTAACACGTGGGAGGGCCTGGCGGGTTAGCCGTGAAAGAGGGGAAAAGCCGGAAGGGGTGGAGCATTTAAGCGGAAGAAGAGGAGAGACAAACCGCCGGCGTAGCTGTTCCCGTCACGCTTCTCCTGCCTGGCATCCCGTGGCTGTGTCCCCTGTCCTCTGCTTACTCCTGTGCCCATCATCCGCGGGAATGCTCTGACACGGGGGGGGGAATCCCTACGCAGTCGAACCGTGTGGGCAGCTGGGACAAATGGGTGAGCAGCATGCCCCCGGTTTGATTGTTCGGAGCGTCGCGCCCCAATGGCTAAGGCCAGCGCCGTTTGCTCTGAACTGCTCCGCCGAGTAATTCAGCCCGGCTCTTCGGGAAGTAGGGCGATTCTGTGAGGGGGTAAGTGCGCTCTTTTTCCCGGGGTTTTCCCATTTAAGCGGTGGAGGGGAGGGGGGCGGCAGCGGACCTTGACGCAGCGGGTGGCGGCTTAGCACATCCGACAAGGCTGAACAAACACACCGAGACGAAACCAACACCGGCGGAGCATCTGAACAAACCGGCGGGGCAGGAGCGGGGCCCCGTCGGTGATCTTGGCGCAAATCTATCACGAAAGAGAAAGGAGCTCGCAGAAGGTGAATTTCACCAAGTTGCAGAGTTTTCGATATGCGAAAGCGCCCCAGCTGTATTTAGCCCACGATGTAAAGACAAAAGGGACCCGCGCAAAATTCGGCGGGGGCAGTTTGCACGAGTGCGGGCCCATTTGCACGGGGTCAGCCTTCCCGGACGGCTGCCCCCTCCGTGTGTCTTTTGGCTCGATTGCAGTCGTTGGGGCGTCTGGTCCCCAGGTTTCGCCCGCGTGGCTTATCTTTGGGGACAAGACAGCCATAGAGCGACCCCACGGTCTCAGCGCCCGCTACCGCTGCCACCTATCCTGTGGACTGCTGGCTAGGAGTGTGCTGGCCGCGTAGGTATGTCCCTCCGATTGCCAAGGGTGGTCCCCCACGGCCAGCGCGTGGGTGTTTGAGTTTCCCACGCTGCCTCTCGAGAGGACAGCTGGCGCAGGCCATCTCTGCTCTGGTGATCATGTGGGAGGTACATGGGCTGACTGGCAGCACATAGCTAGGTGCTTGCTGTGCTTTGTCGTTCCCGTTCGTTGCCTTCTGGCTGCGGCTGAAGGCCTTTTCGCAGCTGTGCGGCCCCCGCGGCTTGGTGTTGGCGAATATATGCATGCGCCCCCACTCGATGGAACGTGGGCCATTGATCCATCGCTGGCCAAATGGACCAGGCTTGGACGTCTTTCAGCTTTTTCGCCAAGTTTTTGAGCCTCGACCCAAAGCCTTGACCACGCCGCCCTCATCTACTCGAACGTATCTGAGTCAAGTAAAACAAAAGAACCTTCCTGAAAACTCTGAAAGCAGCCCCTCGATGTAGTATTGTGAGTAACTCTAACAATTAACTGCGAATCTACTGGCCCGACGTCGTGGTCGGTCTAGTTCTTCAATATAATACTTTTTCAAGTTTTTGAATGTGAGCAAGGTTCTGGGCTCCATATTGTGCGAAGACCTTTCATACCACAGCCTCACCTAATTTATGTCGGACAGGATAGCGTTAATATAGGAAACTCATGGGCATCGCAAAACTTCGAGGATCTGGGGGGTGTGTATTTGCGCTTTTATCGGGAGGAATTGGAGCCAATTGGCCAACAGCAGAAGCTGTGGAGTGCTGGGTTATTGGGTGGATATCGGGTAGTAGTCCGAAAATTCCTTGCGCGTCTGTGTGCCGTATTGTCGGACCCGCGGATTGCCATGCTACAGCGAGAATCGAAAACGAGTAGAGCCCACTGGGGCTTCCAGAATGTGAATATGGCCGCGGTGAATTATGTGGTCGCCAAGTATTTTGCAAAAGCATCACATGGCGGGCCACCTTTCAACTCAAACTATCGAGGCTTTGAGACATCGCGGTGGGACGTCTTTTTCATCCACAAGTAGGCCTGGCAGGCTCACGTGAGGCCTTTTTCTGATTCCTCCCGTGATTGAGAAAGTGCTAGTGTTTATAAGTATATAATTACAAATGAAAAAGTTGGACATTTCTGAGTCGCGACTAAACGTATGGACAGAGATAAAAGGAGTGCACTCTTCAACTGCTGCTAGATAGTAAAATCGCGAGGGCGGACTTCTGGGCGGAACAGTCGAGGCAGGCGAAGACGGAACCAACAGGACCCGCCTCCAATGCCTAGCGTGCTTGTCTGATTCCCTTCGGGTGGAGGTGGACGGGGTGCAGCGCTTGGCCTGGCGGGTTTCGCTTGGGTCGCTCGCACCAAAAAAGGGCGACAGGTTGGCGCCTCTTTTTGCGGTTGCTGGCGGGGTTCTGAGCTGGCAAAGGGGCGGCATGTGCGATAGAGTCGACAACAAGGCCTCGGAAGCATTCTTGCTGGCGGCTTTTCTTAGGCGTCTTCGTGTGGGTTGGCCTCCGCCTCGTGGACTCCACCGCGACGCCGCCCCCCTCTCGTTTCTCGCCTTCGGCGCCAGACCTTGGCACACATTTGCGCTTGCGCGACCTTGGTGTAGTAGTAGTTTCCATCCGGTAAGCGTTCGAAGATCGGCAAGACCGGTGCTCAAGTTAATTATAAGCGATTGGCGCGTGGTAAAAAGAGACCACTAAGCTGCAGACCTCTAGAATTCGCTCTACCAGGAGCGAAAAGCCCCCGACATCGTGTCACAGAGATGCGAATCCTTCCAACGCGGATCGGCTTCGCTGCCGGTCCAGTTGTCTCCAGGCAGAGTCGATGACGCCCCGGCGTCGTTTAATTCACACCGGGTTCTCTGGCTTGGCCCAGACCAGCCAGTGCCAGGAGTTTCTCGGCTTGCTTCCGTTTACTCGCCCCTTATTTCCTCGGCTGTTATGTGAGAGAATGGAGCGGCCTTGCCGCTTTTTGGATTTGGGGTTTCTGTGCAGCTTGGTTGGAGGGTTCTGGTCTGCTTTTGCCAGGCGCTATCGTCGGTTTTAGTAGGAAATCTGGAGTCTGTGCCGAATGGCGTTGCGCTCGGTTTCTTAGCTGCATCTGTCTGGGCGCTTGCGCTTGGAGGTTCATTTGTCCAAACCTCAATCGGAATCCTTGCACCAGGCAAGAGCTCAGCTGTCTTTTCGGTTTTGGCCCTTGGACTGTGGGGCGATGCGTGTGATGTTTCTGTCTCCTCGATATTTGGAACTGCTGCTACTAGAGTGACGGATTGCCAAGATGGTTGTTTACATATTCAAGTACTAACTACTGGGCTAACATAGGAAATGGCGTCGACAGTGGGTCCACGCCGTCTTTATGTTTTGGGGGATTTGGGTGGGGTTTCAAACTACGCGGGCCGCCGCGCTGTTGTCCATATGCGGGGCGGAAGGGTGTCCAGCGAACCTTCTAAGGCGTTTGCTGTGTGTTTCATTTGGAACAATGCCAAAAGCTTGCTCCCTATGTTCCACACAAAGACTGCCGAAGACTCTCGGACGGCCCGGCGGTGGGAACGGGTGGATGACTATGGCAGGAATATTGGGTGGAAGTTCAGCATCCTAGTGGGTCAGGCGGTGAGTTTTCTCGGGACTGGCAGAAGGGTGGTGAGTACGGGGCGAAGAGTCCGGATTTCCGGGAATTGACTATATCCGGGAGTGTGTTATATTCGGTAGTTTGTTATATTCGGGAACTAATTTATACCACGAATGGCGCATGGCATGAATGGCACGAATGGGGCACCCCAAACAGCCCCAAACGTGTCACGAATGGCATGAATGGCACAAGTTGGCACGGTTGAAGCGTTTGAAGGGCCCGGCTTGGGTTGGTTGTAGTATGGCCATGAGAGAAGCTGATTGCCCGACAAAGCCGGCGGCGAAAGTCGAGGAGAGGGAGGTGAGAGTCTCCGGCAAGGTCCTTGACCGTTTTGAAAATGGTAAGGGAGCGCCGTGGCGAACCAGCGAGAGCCGCGTCTGAGGTGTGCAGAACTTCGCGGAAGCGAAGAGGTGGCGCGGAAGCATGGCACCCGCGAGGTGCGTCGTGTATGGCTAGGGGAAAGCCTTGGCATTTAGTGGCATTGGGGTGGGGCGTTGGTGATCGGGGCGGGAGTTTAGCGGGGTGCCGCCCTGCGCCCGCGAGATTTTTGGCAGTCGGTGCGGCTCGTCACGCAGAGAGTGGCAAACTAGTGGGGGTGACAGCGCATGGGAATGCTCGGCGCCCGAAGGGCCCCCTGCTCTCGCCGATCTATTTCGTCCACGAATGGGACGAGTGGCAAGCCCGGTCGGAGTCACGGACTGCGACCCCCCCCATCCGTGTCATTCGTGCCATTGATTCGATCCCTGCCATCCAAGACCTGGCACCCTTATAACTTATTCTGTTATATCCGGGACGTGATTGGGCCCGGCAATTAATTAAATTTGGGATGTATTTTGGGATGTATCCGTCGTGTGTCTGGTTGTTTTTTTGGTTTGTTTGTTTGTTTGTTTGGCCGTAGCATCTGTGCCGAGGAGTAATAAATAGTGAGCACGCACCCATGCGCGCTTCTCCTCTTGCGTGGTACTTTGCTAGCGAGCACCGAACTCGTGGTGGAATCTTCCTGCTCTCGGGCCGCGTGGGCTGTAGGTCTCTGGCGCCTTTCCTTTTCCTTTGGCTTCTCTTTCCACTTACAAACTTTTTTTTTTCAGATGCAAGACTGCTTACAAATCATTTCCCATACAAAGACAACTGGACAGCCTCCACCTCACCAAGACAAGCGCCTATATACAACTACCAAGAGCTATGCAAATAAGGCCCGACTAAATCTGTTAGGCGGGTTTCATCTTCGGAGACAAGAGGTTTGGAAACAGTCACTCATCTAAATTTAGACCTTCATGTGTAATTGTGTACGGGCCCGGAGTGAAAAGACCCATAAAGCTCCATAGTTAGTTTTTATTTATTGTTATAGCCTTTGTGCTTCTTTGTTGTACGAATCATTGTGATTCTCTTTGTGATGCTGATGCTTTGGCTCATCTCTTTGTTCTATGGTTGGGGTTTCCCAACTTTACTTTTTCACAGGGTGTTCCTGTGTTGGTTCTCGTTGCCTTTTTTAAGGCCGACAACAAAGTAAAATTGGCTAACCCCCACATAGTTTGTTCTTCCATTCGTCGTTCGACATCTATTACGATCTTTCGGTAGAGAGAGATCGAAATAGATTGTCAGCTCCGTTGTACGTTGTCAGCAGCATGACACGGCTCTCCGTCCTCGACTTGTGTCTTGTCGGGCTGTGCCAGCGTGGCTTTTCTCCCATTTCATGCCGCATGTTCTCGCGGAGCTTGTTCTCTCTCTCTCCTCTTTGAAGAGGATCTGACTGCTCCTCGTGCCGTCTCGGCGCGTTCCTCGTGCGGTCGCTAGTAGCTGACAACACAGCAAGAAAGAATCATAGCGCGCACTAGTTTGCGCCACTCTCTCCCACCTATTTTATATCAACAACAAAACCACAGCTGACGCAAAAGATGAAGGTCCGACTAAATCTTTTAGGCGGGTTTCATCTTTGGAGGCAAGAGGTTTGGAAACCACAGCTGACGCAAAAGATGAAAAGCCGCACACTAGAGCCATCTAGTGGCAAAACAAGTTCTAGGTAGTAGGGGTTGGCTGGTGTAAGTGTTCAATGACACCGCCGGCTCCTAAGCACAAACAAGCATAACTAGTAGTGTAAGTACCTGGTAGCATGGCGAGCACTGCGGCGACGATACAAACAAGGGAATAATAACGCACCTCCAACAGGAACCAGATGACCAACAGCAAGTACCAGCATGGCTACAACATCTCACGCGAAAAGGAGGCAGAGCTACCTACAGTCTGGCTTTCGGAGTTAAGCTGTCCGGACAAGGGCAGCTACAGCTTAAGTCCCGCCTCCCTTAGGCTCCCTTGTCATTAAATAAGAAAAAGAGTGTAGATTTGCTGTAGCTCCCCTTTTCTCCATAAGGATACTCGGCGCGAGTGTTCTTTAGTCGTTGTAGGTTCCTCTGCTTTTCAACATCTTTGCACCCTTCACAGGCAGGCACGTGCAGCATGTTTTGTCAAGTCTTGCATACTCCTGGCGAGGAGCAGACTTTAGTTACTCCTTTTCCCTCATCCAATAACACACTACAGGCCACCTTCAACTAGCTAGTTTAACCTAACTAGCCGTCCTTGCTTCCAACGGTGTAGCAGAGTAACCTACACCGATACAATATTTTTTAATCCTGATCACAATTGAAGTCAAGTCTCATGTGTATCTACTTATGTAAGAATCTCGGTCCTTAGCTCATTTCTGTCCCTCGACACTGAGTGTTCCGTAGACCTGGCTATCATCAGTCTGTTTTTTAGTCGGGTATTCAGCTTTGAGAGACTTCAGTGATGAGTGTGAGAGATTACTCACGCCGTAGACTTAAAACCTTAAAGCTCTGCATCTGTCGTCCCTTCGTCTCGGTCCGGCCATCGCAGATCATCTGTCGAACCGTGTCTGTCGTTTTTGCTTTCCCGTCGTTTTGGCCCTTAGTCGACGAGCGACGAGTATGAATTTCGACGAGCGACGCTTCTGCTTTCTCTCCGTCTCCTTTCTGCCGCCTTAATATTTATTTCCACTGTGTGGCCTACCTATGGGATAGGCTACTATCCAGCGGTGCTCATTCATTAATCGCTAAGGGTGCGACTAACTCCAGGGTCAGTTAAGGTGAGCCGGTGCCCATGGTCTTGACTGATTCGGCGATCTGGGGTTAGTGCGAGCGCCCACCCCTGTTCTTGCGCTTTCGCCTTGTACTCTAGGGGTGGGGCGCCATGGGCTGCAGGCATCCAGCTTAGTTATTTTTTAATTATTTAAGTTCAACTTCGGCTTTCGCTCTTTGAGAGTGAGAGCGAGCGAGCACAGCTGCACCGCCGACCCGCACTTGCCCCTCTACACCAAAGATCAAGGACTTCAGCTGGACAGCGCAGCAGATATATGACGCAGGGCGCGGGGTGACGGCCCCCCCCCGAACGCAGGGGGGGGGGCCGGGCGCCCCGGACCCCTTTGGAAGGGGTCTGCCGGGCGTGAAGGTGTTCGAAATGGGTGACTTTTCCGCTTACGTGTACCCTACAGACCAGCAAGCCATTTGCTGGGGAGCCCAGTCGCCCACCTTTGAGACCATTTGCAGGGACCCGACAGACCCCAGAGGCCTCCAGGGTGCCTGCGGGCCCCGCCTTCTCCCTTACAGCGCCGTGGGGGGCCTCCCTGCGCTGGAGGCGAGGAGTCCAGCAGCAGGCCCAAGCCTGCTGCTCCCACACCTCGGCCATTTGGTGAGGACAATCCATCGAAGCAGGGCGGGGGGCCTTCTCCCCCCGGCGGTCTGCACCCTGGGAGCGTCGGCACGCAGTGGGCGCCAAATACGGGGCGTTGCCCGCGTAATGTGTTCTATCTTGAGTGAGTCGACTAGCCGACTCTGCTACTTGATATCGCCATCTCGTCATCAGATTCCATTTGAAGCATGCCAGACGTGATGCCTCTATAGGTGAGTGAGCTCGCTGCTCTTGTCACGAAACGTTCTGGCGAACGTTGAAATTTTTTGACGGGAGAGGGCTGGGGACGACCCGCGAGGCCAGGAGGCGCGACACTTGAGCTCGCTTGAAGGGGCATGAATGAAAAAAGCCCGCTGTAACTAATCCAACGCAGTTTCTACTTGTTTACTTTGAATGACAGACCCACTCGTCTCCGGTACCCTGTGTACGACGACGAAGAGTCACGCTCTCTTCCTTGTGAAATCCGAATGCTATTGTTGCTGCATGATCCTACTGGTGCTCGACGTGGCAGAGATTTGCGCTACTGCGACAAGAACCCTTGTGACCCTGTGAAGCGAGCGCGTGATTGAAAATCCGTGCGCTGAGAGTTTCGAAGTTCCTGTCCTGAGCTCGTGCTGCGACACCCATGAAAAATTTTAATGCAACTCTGAATGTTCATACTCGTGCGTGTGAGACTGAAAGAGGCGTGCTCGTTGGAATTTCTGATAGGAGAGCTCGTAAAAATTTTCGTTGGCGTCTGGATTTTGGCTGTTGGTGTTGGGTACCTTTTGCGCGAGAGTTCGGATGAGTTTTTACTTACTTAACGAGGCCTGGCTGTGCGTCGCACATGGCTCAGTCGTGTCACTGATCTTCACCGCTTTCAAACCTTCCGACAGGGATTCGAAACTCGTAGAGTTTTTGAAAGTTTTCACCTCTAGCTTTCGCAAGAAAACGTGCCTGACTCTTAGAAGTGAGACTATATATTCCCCGGTAGTTCTCCGAGCATAGTCTTTAGCAGACTACTGCTTGGAATCTTTCCTCAAGGCCCAGACTCTCCGGTCGAACTTCAGGCGAATATAGGTAGTCCGCGATTAATCTAATCTATCCTGATAGAGACGACTAATTCGCGAATTACAGGGGGGGTCTGCCAGCATACTGACAACCATAAATAATCAAAACCCTTTCACTTTACTCGAAATAGGTATGCTTTCGTCATATATTTCGCGATCTAATTAATCTCACGGCGTGGCAAGGCCATACCAAACACGTACGAGAGACATATCTAGATCTACGACAGACCACACCAGGATCACGCTCTAGAATCGTGACTAGATCAGCCACGTTTTCGCCGCGCGGTAGAACCATCTACAGCATAAGGTGACTACTCGGCATCTAGATATCGTCCTAGAGATCGTAGAGTGCCTATCTGCCAGACAGACGAGATAGCTCAGGAGAGAGCGAAAAGATCATCCCACTCCAAAAGGGTGCAAAAGAGCACTACACAAACAAAAAAGAAATGCCTTCAAGATCTGAAACAGAAGCCCCAGATCTTTACTGAGGAAGGACCTACTGAAAAAAGCAATGCAGAGAGTCGCTATCTTATCGAACAAAAGGAGGCCCGAGATCGCTCCACTAAGTAGCATTCGTGTGGTCGCGTATGGAAATCGCGTTTGATCTCTCACCTATTCGCTCGACAAGTTAACATGACTCAAAGACCGACACTTGGCTCATTTAATATCTTTCGGATAATACGGAGCACATGAGTGAAGAGATGCATTTGGGTCCTACGCTATGTGAATAGAAGAAGGAGGGAGTGGCCATTTAAGATAAGTGGCCGCGTATTTACATACTTACATAAATCAAGGCAAGTTGGCCCGTCTTTCGTGAGCATTGTTTTTTTGTCAAGCACGCATGATTTAGATTTACGGCCGATTTGCCGCAAAGATTCTCAAGATTCAGGATTGTACTCAAGTCATCCGCATAGAGCGCCTGGCTTCTCATTTGTGTTGATTGTGCATTGGTCGGACCCGTCACAATCCGAAGTGCGTGCATTTGTCGACGAGAAACCTTGTGGAAGTGCCTCCGTGCTACATTTGTCGCCATCGAATATCTGCACCGGAATTAGCCACATTTTAAAAGACGCGAGATGCGCGCCTTTCTCGGTAGTGTTGCCATTAGGGACTCACCCCGTTTTAGATGTTTTAACTGTGTGTTCTTAATTGGTTCAGAAATAATTGAAAAGTTATTCCGTGAGTAAGTCACTCGATTGGAAAATAAAACTACTTCTGAAAGAACGCCGGTTAAGCCTAGAGATTATATGGGCATGCAGCGCTCAAAGTGAAGCGAGAAACAGCGAGAAAGTGACAACCTACAGCAACGCCGTCGAGTGCTTGGCGGAGCGCACCAACTTCCCAGCACCCAAGGACATGACGAGCGCGGGTCTACACCTGCTGGCCTTGTGCCAACGTGATCCGGAAAAGCTGATCGAATGCGGCAGCGTTGGCCTGTCGCTGGGGGAGCTGGGTGCGTACTTGAAGTTCAGAACTCTGATCGTCCGCAAGACTGTCACTCCGCGCACTGACGTGCTGAGGAGCTTCGCCCGCTCCTGGATGGTGGCGGCCCACGTCCATAAGACAACTACAGGAAAGTCTGGTCTTGCCAAGGCCTGGGCGCGTCAGCTTCTGGGTAAGCTGTTGGATGGCTGGGACTTGGACCAGCATGGAGATAAGGCTGAGAAGTGCGACCGTCTAGCACAAGCCGCGGAACCGGTTAACGTCCCAGCTGAGTTCCAAACTGAGGAACTTTCTTACGGGAATGCAGAACATAAGCGGAAGAGTGGAGTCCTGAAGGAACTTGGCCTCCTGTTGAACAACTACTCGGGAAAGCGCAGCGCTGCCCCGCCCACCGACAAGGACGAGGACAGGGCGGGGGGTGAAACTCCATCGACAACGAACAAGGACAACGAGAAACGCGTCGCGCCGTCCAAGATCTTTGCAGAAGATCCGACGCAACTGGGAGGACAGGCAATCGGCGTGAAATTTCTGCTAAAAGTGGCTACGTAATGCTGGCAGAAATGCAGCACGTAGATGGGAAATATGTGAAAAATAAAAAACCGCCCTCACTCTGAAGTCGAAGGAACATGAGACACCCCACCGCGACACAATGAAAAAATTGCAGGTCGGAAGAAGCTTTATGAGTTCGTCCTCGTCGGCAGGATCCTCGACGGATCGCTCTGTTGGCACCTGGACACATGAGGCAACGGGTCTGAAGCGCCCAGCTGAGGACCAGCAAACATTGATCGCAGGCGTTATGGAGCAACTGACGAAAACGCTCAAGCTGGTGCCGAAAAATGAAAATGGTGCCTCGCTGGAAAGCAAGATCCTCCAGGACGAGGCCACACGACCGCAACTGCCTGCAGGCGCGGCTGAGGATGCCAGTTTGGGACTGCGCACAAACGATCGCCTTGGCGATGTTGTCGTCAGTCCGGTCATCTGTTCGCGAGAACCTAACGCGCAACCGCCTGAAGGGGCAAACTGGCCAAATGTAACCGGTTGGGGGCGAGCCTATGGCTACTCCTAGAGTGGGCTGCTGATTAAGCTGCTTACAATTGAAATGAAAAGTTAGACTTTGATCTGCCAAATGCTGCCTATGAGTAAAAAAAAAAATTGAAAAACAAGACACAGCATTGCCCTGACGCCGAAAAGTGACAGGCTCGAAGGAAATAAGTCGACCTATACCGACATCGCCTTGCTCAACAATGGGGAAGGAAAATACGCAGACCGTAACTACGCGCTATGCTGGATGGCGCTCGATGGTGAGGCCGCAACTTTTTTGGGTCAGACAAATGATCTCGACCCACAGACAGACCACGATGGCGCGAGGCCTGTGCGCGCCGGCAAATGACTGGGAGACGATCGACGACTTTGCCAGAGTTGCGCCCTGGGTCTGGCTGTCGGAACAGTACTGCAATAAGTGACGAAATAGGACTTGAGCTGATTGATTAGTAGGGCCAAGTGGTGGCTGAGGTGTAGACGTGACAGCGAAGGAGAAAAAAAATAACTGAGGAAGTGACGCTATGAAGAAAAAATCGAATATGCAAATTGCTAAACCACTAAAAATGCAGCACCTTTTGCCACTTCTTGGCGTCGCAGTCGGAAGTCCATCGCCACGCGGCAAAGGTGGCGGCGCTGTTTTGTATGGTCAACGGAATCAGTTGCGAACGCAGCCTGTTCTTGCGCTATGCTTCGGAACAGGAATTCAATTCGCCAAGGATTTGAAAAGTATGACCTTGCAAAAGGCCCTGCAAGGCCCATCGAGCCACGATTTGCGGCGCTTTGTCACAGCGCTGCTCTCGGCTGCGAACTGCGAAGACCAAGGTCCGGCCGGAACTACTGCAGCACTTGTGGGCAGCTGGCTGGGATGTCCCGGCGCTGTGGAAGTTGGCCTCGCGCTGCGCGGCGGAATTTATCATGCTCGAAGAAGCCGACTGGGGCAAAGCCAGCTTCTTGAGCCGCGCAGCCTTTGTGTATGAAACGAAGAGGAGCTTGGTTGAGAAATTCCTGCTATACACGGGCGAGGCCGTGGATTTGCCAAGCGCAACCCAAATGGCGGCGGACTACAGCCACGCGGTCACTGCATACCAGAGAGGTGACATGGTCAGCCACATCCTACCGATGTTGTTGGGCGCCAAGGTGAAAGGCGACGCGCAGCGCTCTGGCTGCAGCGTGTTGAACTACCTCTGCAAAATGGTTTGGTACATGCTTACCGCGCAAATATTGCGACTCGCAAAGCGCTCTTTGGAAAAAGGCAGGCGCTAAAAAACTAAAATCACTGAACTGAATGTATTTGGGACGTGAATGGCTGCGACCTGAAAAGAAGATGGAAGCTACTCCCTACGAGTGAGACTGTAAGTCGATGCTTCCTTAGCTCTGAAATCCATAACCCCATGGAAAACATAACCAAAAACCTGAAAAGCAGGGGGATGAGCACGGGGAAGCCGCCACCCCGAACCGCTTTGGAAACATGGGCGTTGAGTCCGCTTCTGTCTATGGAAACGATGATAAGTACGGCTGTGGCAGTGGCTCGCCTTCTTCTACCGCCGGCACTGGACAAGGTGCCAGCAAAGGCGCGGGAAAAGGCGGAAAAGGCCAAAAAGTAAGGAAAAGGTAATGACGACTCACCTGATGTGGTGCAAGGCTATAGAACTTCAACTAGTGTTGATAAGGGGCGCGCGTTCCTTTTCAGTCCGGCTATGAACATGTTCCCGCAGGACGCGGGCCTTGATTCTGAATCTGGCCTCTGGTGGTTGCACACGAATGATTATCAAACAGGAACCCAAGAGCTGAAGGAGCGCGGCCTAAAGCCGGACCGCACCAAGGTGACGGTCGTGAACGACCCCCGCTACAAGTGGGAGTGGTGTGAAGGTGAACGAAAGGGCGCCTGGCGCAAGTGGAGCGAAAAGAAGAGCGACTGGCTCTATGGCTACCGCAGTGCCTATGCTGACGATAGCGGCGGACTGCCAGATGAGGAGCCCATGCGCCGCCGCGAAGAAAAATACGCAAAGCGCGCCGCTGACAAGGCTGGCAAGAATGCCGAGCAGGAGAAAGGAAAGGGAAAAGACAAGGGAAAGGAGAACAAAGGAGGAGAGAAAGGCTGCGGCGACGTCGTGCTATGAAATCACTCTGCTAGCGAGAAAAAACTCCTTGAGGGAGACTTGAGTGCTAGCAGAGGAGATATCGCGATAATCTGGAATGAAGAGAGAAGGTGAACTGAATCAGTCTGCTGCGCAGGAGGAGGCGCAACAGCAAAACCGCGCGGAAAAGGAGGGTGAAGATGAAGAGGAGGAGGAAGAACCACGACACTACGTCACTGCTGTAGTTGGGGACTATTATGATTCGAAACCACTTTCGACGAAGGTTCGCGCTGACATGAACCGCGGCAGCTTTTTGATGTTTGAAAATCATGATGAGCGTAATTGCGACCTATATAAAAAGTCTGCGTTCTCTGAGAAGGATTTGAAAGAGGCCAACGGTGATGCAATTTGCTCGATCATGGGGCGTAAGCTCAACAAAGAAAGCGTAGTCGCCGACGACGGCGGGACTGTAGCTAAGGATGGCCATCTAGCAAATTCGATTATCGAGGACGTTTTGCATAGCGGATGGCTTGGATTCTCACGCTCGGCTTGCCCGGCGTGGCATGTCTATGGTAAGTGTAAGGGCGAGAGCTGCTGTTTGAAACACGAACGAAAACCCTCCACAGCAGCGACGTTTGCCGACGTCTTTGTGTGGCAGGTACAAAACAAGGCGGGACCTACCGAGAAACTTGCGGCGCTGTAGATGAATATCTAGGAAAGATACAAAACAGTGCGACTACTTGTAAAGCCCCTACGTGGGAAGCTCCAGCTTTGTAGCGCTTGTGGAAGAGCGTCGACTTGAACGCACACGAGAACGCGGCTGCGTGTGGTTTCCGTTCAGGCAAAAGACTTCGTCGTGAGTACATCGAAGCGCGACCGCTACGAACTGAAGAACCTCTTTGAAAAATAGTACTCTAAGAAAACCACCTGGCTAGAAAGGCCGACAGATGTGGACTGTCGAAAACATATACAGCCGCTAGATGAGAGAACCTCCCACGCTTAGGCCTATGATAAAGATAGGAGATGGAAGAAAAGGACACACGGCCTGGATTATGTGAGTGGAGCTTAATGGCTAGAACTAACCTAGACTGAATGGCAAGCGATGACTTGAAGTTATAAAAAGATTGCAACTGCCACGACCTCGGCGCCTACTCCTGGGGGAGATCTGAGAGCCGTCACTACTCCCGCGGGAGATCCAAAAACCTACTTGAAAGATGTGAACGCGACAGAGCAACAACTTTGATAGTTTTTTACGGAAATGCTGAACCCATACTAAAAACACAGAGACCGACGATGGCGCCGCTTAGGCGAATGTAATCTGTTCAACGCCGCGACAAAGGAGCCTCTGGTAGAGAGACAGGACGAGAGAAGGTTTTGCGATAGTCGTGCGAATGATGTCAATGCCTGCCATAATTGGAACGAAAGCGAGCGAAGTGACGAGAGTGCTCACCTTGATTGGACTTAGTTATTCTGAGAGTGCTGACGTGACATGGCGCGCCTACCACTAGCAGGGGCGTGGCTGCACGCCACAAACCATGCTCCGAAAAGACAGAAAAAAACGAAGACTGCAGCTATCGAGGACTCGTTTAGACGCGCACCCGACGAGACTGGGGGCGCCTCCACCTCGGGGGCTGCTACCTCAAGCAGCGTTGCCCCCGTCATGCGGCAGAGTATGGCAGTGACGCCTACGATGCGACTGGACAGGGCCGCGATCGCTAAAGGTGACTACCGCCAGGCCTTGCGGAAATATATCGCCAGTGATACGATCACCATCGTGCTACAGTCGCACACTGAAGGCGCACTGATAGACCGTATGTATAGGCTTGAGGTTTTTCGTGACTACTGGAGGAACCAGAAGCCGCCAATCGAGGCGCCGCATGAGGTGGAGCGCGTGCGCCTGTTCTGCCTATGGGTGGCTGGCACGGATGAAAGTTCTGACCTGGCGAGATCATATTTCACGGCGATGGCCTATAGTCTCTTGGTGCCACCACTGAACCCCGACACGAACAGGCAATGTGCCTGGATGGCCGATGCGCCGCGCGCGGTGCGCTCCCTGGCAATTGCAAGCGACGACATAAAACGGGCCACAAATTCCTTTGAGAAGGAAAAGGCGCCCCTGATTGCGAGGGAGGCATGGGCGAAACTCCAGCCGCTCGAAAAGGCGACCGTAAGGCTTTGGGTCAACCTTGGAACTCGATGGAACAGTGTAGAGGCCATCATGCCTCAGGATGCCCAATGTCCGATACACCCACGGGGTAAGATTTCTGTCCATATAACGCGAGAGAAGATTACAGCGGTGGCCAACAGAACGGCCTTCGTATCCTGCTGCTGCGATAAGACGACAAAGAGTGGCCTCGGCGTCGTATGTGACCCGCAGACCAAGAAGATATCCTTCCCACTGAGGGAAGCCGAGGTCCGGAAGACGCTACAGAAGATTGGGGCGAGATTTCGCTCCCCGTGGAGGACGAGCGCCATATATGCGAGAACGCGCGTCGAGGCTGGTGACCGTTTTGATTTCTCAAAATATATGCTCCAACGTGGATGGACCGTAGTCGCGACATTTTTTGGCTATTGTGTCGACTACGCAAAAACTGAGGCTGATCGAATGCTACCAGCTGCAGGCGCACTGGAGTTGGGAGATATGTCGAGTAAGCGCATCGCTTTCCCGGAAGATAAGTCGGAGGCCCATGCCCTCCACGAGATGAACAGATCATCTGGGGACCTTGAGGGCATGGAAGCTGTCGAGTCTTTGCTATTGAGCAAAGGAAAAGCGAAAGTCCCAAAATCACTAGAATACTACCAATCCCGCTCGGTTTTTTTGGCCGAAGGGAGGGCCCTACAGAATGGGCAGGAGCTGACCACAAGGCAGGCCAGACCGAAAGTCAAGACCCTAGAGCAACAGAGGAAAGAGGGACTCTTCAAACCAGCACGGGCGACCGTGGGCTTGTTTAAACAGACTCAGAGCGCACCGCTGAGGTCTCTTAAGAAGTCCTGGCGGCGTCGCCCGCGATAACCTTTGGGGGGTATCGTCTGTACGGATCGACGGCAGCTACCTGTGCTGTATGTGGGCCCTACTTATTTGCCTTTTTTGCACATGTTGATGCTGCTTTGCCCTCGCACTCGCATTGAGCGCCCGCCTGTTAGGGCTGCGGTAGTGGGGAAGGGGTGGCGCTCGGGGGACACCACTGGCGCGAGCGTATGCCAAGTGCGGTGCGGGCCTGCGAAGCCTGTACGCGTCTGAGGGGTTGGGACTTGCGGGCGCTGAGACCTCGCAAACTTTTGAGGTAGACTCCCAGGGTGTCGGACTCTTTAAAACGACTGAAAATCTACAACGAACGCGAAAAGCGGAAAACATTACTCGTAGGGTGCAGGCAGACAGCCGCAAGCGGTGGGGCCGTCTTCCACCCCGGAGCCACGCGCAAATCAACGCCGCGAAGCGCGCGCGCGCTCCACCACAGAGCCATCCACAGGGGGGGGGGGGGCGGAGCGCCCCAAGTTATATATAGTGTTGTCTTTTGTGTTGTTCGTCGTCGCCTTCGTCGGTTCTGTCTTCTCTCTCCAGCTAACAGGGCTAGGAAGGGTTGTAGGGGCTTGGAGTATTCCCCTTGCTAGATCCCTAGAGAAGATATTTTATAAGATGAAACTGAGTGGAAACCTTTAGCAGTCTGCGCCTTTGTTCCTCGGTCGAATAAAATAGAAAACGATAAAAATAGAATAAAGACGCACGATCATGAGCAAAACCCCTCTAAGTCTTGACGCATGAAAAGGCCAGAAACTTGACACATGCACAAGGCTACAAACCTTGAGCAAGGCGATGCATTTTGTAGCATACCGCTACCAGCGTGATTCTCTGTGCTCCTATCTCATGCATGATACTGCAAAGGGGCCTCATGCGGGGCGTTGCCCGCGTAGTGTATTTCTTTCAGGCGGACGCGCACCCGGCCAGCTTTCGGGCTAAAATCTGGCTAAAAAAGTCGGTTTTTTGGGATCGTTGCTCGTCTGTCTTGTGTCTTGTCCCATTTGTTTAGCCTTGGTGTCTTTTGGTTCTCTCTCGTGACTTTTTGCGGGGGTGTCAGCAAGTGGCCGAGTGTGTTCCCCTTGAGGTTGGCTCTGTCGCTCCGCTCTAGCCAGGGAGCCTGCCCACGGTTCTACCTGGCAGGGGTTCGAAAAAGTGCGACCGAAAGTAACCCCCTCCATTTTCGGTCGTGCCCTTTCGCCCTTCCCCTCCCCTTGAGGGATTTGTGCTCCTTTGGCTTATTTGACATGTTTTTCTAGCTTCATACTAAACATGTCTAGAAAACGTGTCTAATGGAGGCGCCCTACAAGCGGCAGCCCGACGGTTGAGCCGGTGGTGGTTTGGTGCCTCCTCTAGGCAAGGAGACTGCTGCCGCTGCTTCTGGTGTTTCAGGCAGTGGTGGTGGATCTGGTGGCGCGCAGCAGCTCCTTGGCGTTGTTGAAGATGAGGAATGCTGTGGGAGTGTGTGTCCAGGCCTCCAACCCCGAAAGGGACTGTTAAAATATTGTTAAAATTTTTTTTGCATTTTTCTGTCTCAAAAAAACTGTTAAAGAATTGTTTCAAAACTGTTAAAATTTGAAAAATTTTTTCTCGTGTGTTTTCGCCTTAAAGTCGCTACTTTTTCTGTTGGGGGTCGGTTTTAGACATTGTCATCCGGAAGCGGATGACCGTGTCGCCGACTTTTTTAACAGTCGTAAAAGTTGGTGGTTTTTTAGCCGCCAACTTTAGGCCGGTTTTTAGCCGTTATTTTTAGACATTTTTTTAGCAGTCGTTTTTAGACACATTTTTAACAGTCCCTGGGGTCAGCACAGGGAGGGCGTCGCACTGTGCAGTCCCAGTCGTGTAGTCGGCCTGCTGAGATTCGGAGCAACAAAGGCACACGGTGAGGCCCGGCCTCGCAGTGGGGCTGCTTCAAGCTCCTCGGGCCTGGTTGTGCCGAGTTCGCGTGGGCGTGTGGTTCGCGACAGGCGCCTCCAGAAAATTTGTGCCAACAAGTTGCCAAATGCTGGAGAGCTGGCCTCCGCCGTGGACAATAGCGCGATCTTTCGGCAACCAGTTGCCGAAAGTTCGCCAAATTGTCCACGTTCAGGTGTGAACAATTTCACACAGCGCCGCGCGTTGGCCTGCTCCGATGGTCCCCAGCGTGCGACCATGTTCCGAGAAGGCTCGGGGTGTGGTTGCGTGCTCGAGAGCGGCCTGGGCAAGTGTCCTCCCTCCATCTTTGGGATCGGGGTTTCTGAAATACCGCAAATTTTAGCCATTTTTTACCTCGACTTGTTGGCTCGGCACTTGTCCGCCTGATTTCTTCTCAAAGTGAGTAGACTACTCGATCCGGCTACTTGGTCGCGCTATCTGCTTGGTGCATCCCATTGGAAACATTTCAGAACGTGGCGCCTCTGTAGGTGAGTGAGCTCGCCGCTCTTGTCAGAAAGCCTCCTGCTGAACGTTGAAACTTTTGACCCGCCCGCTCCGCCCTGTGATCATGCGCATGCGGGACCGACTTGCGCAGGCGCTGGCTGACGCCGCGGAAAGAGTGGGGGAGGAACGGCCTGCGCCGCCCCTCCCGATTAGACAGACCAAGTCATGTCATATCTCGAAAATATGAGAAAGCAGAAACACTGCTCCCCGACGTGGATGCAACGCATGGAAGCGGCGACAGAGGATATTTCGGGACTGCGTGAAAGCATGAGGGCCCAGGATTTCCTCAAGATCCAACAGGAAGCGCCGGACCACCTGAAGGCGCTGCTGTGCACGGAACGGACGTGAAACGTCCTGGCCATGCGATATCTGGTGGATATAATACTTACTGCACCCTGATAAGCTACCACCGCGGAGGGTGCAACTCTATCGGTAATGGCGAGGGAGCTTGCCTGTGGAAGACAGAGCGCAGGCCGCTGCTTGAAGAGCACGAGGTGGAGGAGTTCTACAATATGGCGGCACGACTCAAGCGTGGAAAACCTAACCTCGATGACGGCCTCCTACTGGCTATCATGGAAACAATAGAAGAGGACACGAAGAAAGGACGATATAAGACAAGAACGGTGGAGGGTCTCAAATGTATGCCGGCGATGGTGTTCCTAAAGAAAGGACGAGACCACGCCGGAGAGATTCAAAGTGCGTGCTCTGATTGACAGGAGGGCAAAGAATAAACACTGCCGAACCGCTGAGAGATTGGAACGGCATGGATCTCGGCAAATTGCGGACCTACTTGGGATGTACGTCATGCCACTAGGCCGCGAAGAGGACTACCGCGCGCCCCCTTTGGGACAGCTGAAGAAAGAGGCAACGAGTGAGATTGTGAAAACACTAGAGGAAACCAAGAAGAGACTGGCGGAGCCGATGCCGCTGCGGGGCACGCTCGGCAGCTATGCCGGCTGCCTCTCGCATCGCTTGAAGACTGCAAGTGGGCCGATGACTGAAAGTGAGGAGTATGCGCGTGACCCTCTGGAAATGGCCTCGGATGATATCCCCAACGCGTGTCACCTCTTTGGGGTTGATGATCCTACGTCTAGCCCGTTCATGGGATACGGCCCCCGCCTGGAGGGCTTCAGATTTTGGATATCTTACACTTTGGACATCGGTGCTGAACCGTCCGGGCCGGCCTTCTGCAGAATCGCGGAACTCCTGATGGCTGTCGCGGCACACTTTGGTCTGCCGCTCCTGGCATATATTGACGGCCGGAGTTACTTCGTGGCGAATAGGGAACAGACACTCGCGGCGAAACGCTTCGCGCACCAACTAGCCAGGGCGCTGGGCTTAGAACTATCTGACAAGCCAAAAGTAGGCCAGTCCTCGGCGAAGACTGATCGCGCCCGCGCACTAGGACTGGTGTACAGCTATGGGGCGGCTATGCTGACGGGTTGCGTGACACTCTGGGCCGCACTGCCGCCGGAATATATAGAGAAGACAGCGGAAGCACTTGGCGCCATTTTGCACGCGTTACGTACGAAGGTGCTGCCGCATAAGCTCACTCAGAAAAGCGCTGGCCTCTGCACATTCGCAACGCAACACGTGCGACAGAAAATGGGCACGGAGGCGCTGGGGCCACTATGTAAATGGCTAGACGGGGTGGCGTTCGAGTCGTTGACACGAAAAAAGCTCGAGCGTGGAGCGTTAAAAATAAAGCGCATCGCTATAGTGCGCGCCGTCATCCCGAGGCTACCGCCTATGGGTTATGGAAGGGGGCGCACGGCCCTACTTCGGGCAGCACTTGGCTGGACAGACCGACGCGTCTGCTGATGGAGGCCGGAACGGCGTGCCTTGTGTCGGAGGACTCATAGTCATGCCAGACGGGAAGCGCATAGGATTCGTGTTGGATATTCAACAAGACGAGACACAGAGACAGCTCCTGGGAGTAGAGCCGCGAGCTGAAGCGTTTGAGGCCCTCGCAACGTACATTGCTGCATGACTATGGGCACGCGAAAGCCTCCTCATCGATTTCGCAATCGGCAATGTAGTCTATTTGTGCGCCGCTGTGAAGATGGCGGCAAAATCTGGACTCCTCATGAATGTCGTGTCGAGCACGACCCTGCTCTGCTGCGACAGACGCGCGCAGGCATATTATAGAGATGAAAATACTAAACTTAACATCGCAGGCGCGTTCTTGTGACGTGGGTCTGAACAGTTCGCAAGAACCTTAGTCCGTGACTGGGTGGATGGCATTTCATCGGAATGGTGGAAAGACGCCCGGAAAGCAATAGCAGGCGGGTGAGGTGTCAGTCGCTTTGGGAGTTTTGTCCTGATGGGGTGCCTCTCGTGTGGCCCTGTTTATATGCCTTCTTTGCACATGCTTGATGCTGCTTTGTCTTCGTGCTCGCTTTGAGTGCCCGCCTGATAAGGCCGCGACTGTGGGGAAGGGGTTGCGCCCGGGGGACACCACTGGCGCGAGCGTGTGCCAAGTGCGGTGGGGGCTTGCGAAGCCTGCACGTGTGTGAGGGGCTGGGACTTGTGGGCGCTGAGACCCAGCAAACTTCTGATGTAGACTGCCAGGATGTCGGACACTTTAAAACGACTGAAACCGCAGAACGGACTTGAGTTGAAGAGTACGCTAGTAGCCTTTTTATGGGTATTCTTTTGAAGGAAACCAAACAAATTCAAAAGTCGAAGACTATTACTTGTCGGCTTTTTCCTGTCTTGTTCTCTCTCTCAAATTCGGACGAGTGTAAACAGAAAGAGAGACATAGGTAAAGCACGTTGCTACAGTCTTCGTGGTTGTATTTCTTTAGTTTGTCGGCCGATGCAAATCATGCGAGCCAGATGCCCTCACTGCTAGAGATAAGAATGGCAGTAGTCGCTGCTTCTGCAGTGCTTGTCTTAATATTTGGGAAGTAATTAAGCCCGGGCACTAATTAGCTCCGGGAGTTCATTAAGCCCGGGAACTGATTAAGCCCGGGAAGTAATTAGCCCCGGGAGGTAATTAGCTCCGGGAAGTAATTAATTTCGAGAATGAATTGAGTCCGGGGGTCGATTAAGTCTGGAAATTAATGAAGTCTGGAAAGTAATTAAGTCGGGGAATTAACTCGGCCTGGGAACTAACTAAACTCTGGAATTGATCAGCTCTGGGAATTGATGAAGCCTGGGAGTCAAGTAGGTCGGGGAAGTAGACAGCATAAGGTTGGGAATTAGTGAAGCCTGGGAGCCTGTCAACCTTTTGAGAAACTGGCCAGGACTAGGCTGCGGCTGTTGCGGGTGTTTGTCTTGCTCTCTTTCTATCCCTTAAAAAAAGGAAACCGAAACCGGCGGCCGCTTTTTTCTCCCTTCACGAGGCACTCAGGTGTGGTAGGTGAGAGGCAGAAAGTTGCGCAAAATTTCGGCAATTTTCTCGGATTTTCAGCGGGCCCTGCGTCGGCTTTTTCTTGAAATCGTCCACCAGACTGAGCAGCCTCTCAACCCACTCGAAGCCGATAGACGCACGAGGCCCGAGGCAAGCCCAGGGACAACCAATTGGAGACCGCCGCGACGATGTGAAAGACGTGCGCGAAATCTTTGCGAAAAGTTGCCGGGGCTGGTCTTCGTTGTCTCTTTGCTTGAAAGGCCAAACCAGGCGCCGAAGCGCCTGGCGCTGCTTTTCGTTTGTTCTGTGTTTCGTCGTTGGTGGCAGCCCCGGCGCTGGTTCGTTGTGGACCGCTCGCATGCCGCTGGCATCGGCGCCGCCCCGGGTGCAGGCGTGGCGCGGTTGTGTGAGCCCCCTCAAGCGTAGGACACCGGGGCGGAGGACAGGGGAAACGCAGGCGGGGGAGCAGCGTCACCATAAGCCGGCGGCGGCCATCTTTCCCCGCTTGAACACCTCCAGCGGCTTCCCGTCTCTTCTGTCACTTTAGAAAAAAGAAAAATCTTGGCGAAAAGTTCGCGAAATCTTTGAAAAATCAATCTTCGCGGAATCTTTCCGAAAAGATAGACGCACGAAGTTCCAACATGGTCAAGACTTGCCAACTTTCCGCAAACATTTCGCGAAGATTCTGAAGCTTTCGCCTTCCATGTTTTTTGATGAAGACATCAAAACGCACCGCCAAGAACAAACTCGCGACAAATTGCAGCGGGAGCGCATAAGACTCCGCGTCTTCTGTGTCTGCTTTGTGTGGTCTTTCTGTTTCTCTCTCCAGAGCTGTGCCGCCTTTTGGGTTGTGCATTTGTTTGGGAATTTGTCGGGCGGCTGCGTCGCAGGCTGGCTCGTTGGCTTGTGGTGCTCTCAGTGCAGTGGCTGGGCTGGTCGTGTGTTGGTTCTGTCGGCTCTGCTTTCAGAGGCTTAGCAGACGCCGCGAGAAGTGGACAGGCGTGAAAGCGGCGCGCGTGAGCCCCGGCAACTTTTCGCCAAGATTCTCCGCCGTCGGCAGTCTTCGGGCGCGGCGGTCTCCAAAACCAAGAAGAAAAGCCAAAGGGACCAACTAAGGAGCCGAAGACCTACCGACAAAAGCCACGACAGGTCTGCGAAAACTTTCCGAAGACTCGGCAGGCACAAAGCGCGAAGCACCACGCTGCGGCACATCGCTCAGGAGGGCCAGCGACAACACATGAAGGCGACAGCCTTGTTAGGTGGTAACGGTTTCAGGCCTCCTCGAAAAGAGTCAAAAAATTGAGTATGTCTCCCGATTAGGAGCCCGGCGCCCTCCCGCAAGGCCATTTTCCGAAAAAAAAAGCGAGACTCTTTTAGTTTTTTGGTCAAGAATGGCCTTGCGGGGGGAACCGGGCGCCTAAAAGTAGAGGCCTTTACTCAATTCAGGCGAAACCTTCGAGCGGCTCCCCGCTTATGTTCTTCAAAAGAGTGGCCAGAAAGCCAGCAAGGCCGCCGACAGTCTGCGCGCGGCGGTGCGTGGCGTTGGCTTATGCATGTGCTGGGGGGGAGGGGGAACCCTATGAGAGAGCCCCGAAGGGCCTGGCCAGTGGGTTGGTGTGCTGGCTCTTGAATGGCGCGCGCCGCGTCCCGGCTTACCAGCTGAAAAGGAACCAGCCCGCGCCCTACAGAGTCCCCGCGCCCCTCCAGAATCCCCCCGCGCGCTGGCTGCTCGTGCGCGCTCGGTCTGGGGGGTTCATCTGGTGGGGTGCGGGGGTGAGCTGGCCACACTCAAAACGCACGGGCATGGGAGAGAAGGTTGCCACAAACCCTGCCGGCACTGGGGGGGCCTTCCTTCGTGTTTTCTTGGCTTCTTTGCCGGGTGGCTTTCAGCCGCCTCAGCGTCCCCACGTTCGCCGCGGCTCGGCCACGCGCTTCAGGGCCTTCTGCGGCAGCGTCTCCGAGGCCTCGGCAGCTCCTCGACGGCGGAGGCGTGCGCATTGAATTCAATTCCTTCAAGGGTTGGCAAGGGTTAGCTAAGTCTGGAAATTCCTGAAGCTTGGGAATTAATTCAGCCCGGGAATGCATTAAGTCTAGGAACTAATTAAAGCTAAGTCTGGGAATTAATTAAATCTCGGAGTTAGGTAAGTCTGGGAAGTCATTGGGCTTGAGAATGGGTTAAGCACTGGGAGGAATTAAATCCGGGAACTATAAAAAGGTGGCAATTAATTTACTAAATCTGGGAGCTATATTAGTTCCGGGAATTAATTAAGTGAAAGTCTGTAAGTAAGATTATCAGTTTCTCACTTCTCTCCGCCTGAGTTCTTGCGAGAACCAAAAGCATCCTGTGGGACATCTGTCAGCTATGCGTAGCCTGAAGTTTCTCAGACTTTTTGTAAAGAAGAAGTGAGAGCGTCTAGAGTTTGTCTTATTCTGGATCTGTGCACGCAGGAGATATCTGTCACTGAGTCGAGACTTGACTGCTTTCGTTGAAGAAATATCGACGAGAGATGGAGAAGACTATCGAATGATTCAGAACGAGCGGAGAAAAGCATCGAATTGTTGAGAGTGGAATCACTGGAGCAGAGACGTGCCTCGGGATTTGAGCGACAATGTCAAAACAGAAGTTAAACGCTAACGCTTAAAAGGCATCAGCATGCCTTTTCGTCTTATCATCCTCCCTCTCATAAAAAAATAGGATCGGAGATTTGTCTAAGGTGCACGCTGGCGGTTTTTGGTCGGTTTTTTCTCTTGTCATAATTTTGTCCTGTCATGTTCTGATGATACAGCGCCCTCCTCTTGCGTGTTCTCCTCTCGACATGAAATTCCACCTATGTTCAGAAGAACTCTCGCGCCTTTAATTCATGCCATGGCGATGCCTCCTTGCAGATGCTTCTTGTTCAGCAGCATCCTGCTGGCGTTGTTGCGCGTTGCACTGATAGCGGGGCACCTCAATAGTGTCGGTCTTCTCCTTATCCCTGTGCCCTTTGCCAGATCGATGACCATTCGCGGCAAAACGGTCCGTGGGGGGATATTCAGCCAACTGCGGTGGGTAAGAGAAGAGCGCAACTTCCCTGCGGGGAAGAAAGAAGACGCTGCGGCATCTGCCGAAGATCAGGAAGCCTCCTGGTCGGTGTTTCACGTTTCAGAGCCTTCCACTAATTACATCCGGCAAGCAGTGTATTATTCTGGGACCCCCGCGGCAGCCTCCACCTTGGTGGCCGTGTGCCCCTCCTCTTTCTCCTCCTCCTTCTCCTCCTCCTTCCGCTCCTCCTCCTTCCGCTCCTCCTCCTTCCGCTCCTCCTCCTTCCGCTCCTCCTCCTTCCGCTCCTCCTCCTTCCCCTCCTCTTTCCCCTCCTCTTTCCCCTCCTCTTTCGCCTCCTCTTGCCCCTCCTCCTTCCCCTCCTCCTTCCCCTCCTCCTTCCCCTTCTCCTTCCCCTCCTCCTTCCCCTCCTCCTTCCCCTCCTCCTTCCCCTCCTCGCTCCCCTCCTCCTTCCCCTCCTCCTTCCCCTCCTCGCTCCCCTCCTCGTTCCCCTCCTCCTTTCCCTCCTCCTTCCCTCTTTGCGTCTTGAGACCTCGGAGGCCGCTGGGCTGGAGGGTCTTGGAATAAGTTTCGCAAATATTTTTACGCATTACCCTGCGGGGGTAGTTTCTCCCACTATGGTCTGCCCTGTCGCTCTGCAACCAAGAAAGACACGCTGCGGGGACTTTGTTCATCTTCATGCGTGTGGACTTGTTTTTGTAATAGATTTAGCCTCATTCTTTGAAAGTACGGTAGCCCCATAGTAGTGGATTGAAGTGCTGCCTCGACTATGTGCGATCACGTTTGGGACATATGGTCGAGGCTTCCCATCTTTGCCTTCTTAGTCCTTGTGTATTTTACATGGCGCTGCAGTACAAACGCCCGTGCTGCGACAGAGTCCGCGTTCGAGCTTCAAGCCATAAGATCTGCAGACGCATCAAAAGTGCTGGGGCACCAGCTATTTTCTGAACGCGACCAGGAGCGCGGCTACGAGACCATCACGAAAAGCCGTATGAGCTTTTTCGACATTTGCAGGCGGAGTCGTATGTCGGACAAATGCGCCAGCAATCAGGACCGCCATTACTATCATGTACGAGCAGGATGTCCATGCTTGCAGATCCGTGACTCAGTCCGTTTGCAACAAAGAAACAGCACCAGAAGCACTCTACTGGCTCTGGGTCTGTTTTGGATGGTTTGCCTCGCGGTGGCGCCCGTTGCGCACGTATATAGTTAGTGTTGTGTCTGTGGAGGGCTTTGCTTTGTCGTCGGTCATTTGGCTCGCGTCTCTTTGTGGTGCGCTGTCCTGTCGTCTCCGGTCGGGCGCGCCAGTCTTGTTGGCGCTCACTTCTCATCCCTGTGACTGGATGCGCCGGTAGGTGGACTGGGCTCCTTTCCTTTTGCGTATGGCATTGGCCCGCCGCGAAGGGTGCGGGGGCAGCTTCTCACGGAGAGCGTCAGCCCGCGAGCAAGGTGTGCTCTCTTATTTGTGTGCGTGCGTAGCTGTGTGCGCTATGCGCCGTGCCTTGTTAGAGTGGCCTCGCCAGCGATGTGCAGCTGCCTGCAGCTGCGCTGGTTGCAGCCTCGAACAGAGGCAATTGCCCACTTTGTGCTGTTGCGCCGCAGTGTGCTCCTTAGGTGTAAGGGTCGCTCGATGTGATGCTTTATTCGATCCGTCACGCGTTCGCTTTACTTTGTTTGGCCTTGGCGCTGGTCGTTGGCTAGATCTTGGGACGAGAAGCAGCGCAGTTTTAGCATGCGGGACATGATGCTCTGGGGCTCGTTGCCTCAAGCATACCTCGCGGGGGATGGGTGTGCCAGCTGGCGGCGCGCGCTCCACTTCGGGCTTGTCTCGGGCTGCCTCTCAGTCAGTCTTTCGTGGGCTGTTCGTTGGACTCAGCTTTGGTTGCGTGTGCGCTACAGATGTCGCGGCCCGTGCCCATGATTGTAGCCATGGCTGCATCCATGGATGTGGTAAGGCCAAAAAAGTGCCACTTTTCAAAAAATTAATATTGAAAAGTGGCACTTTGTTTTTCATGCTCAAAATCGGCCACAATCATGGGCAGCGAGCAGTCGTCTGCCTGCCCGGTGTGGTCGGTTTTGGCTATCCATGCTTGTAGCCATGCCTGGATCCATGTGGATCACCTGAAGAATCCACTTGTTTGGATTTTTCAGGAAGCAAAAAAATCGGGTCAAAAGTCGCTACGTGAATGGATAGTGGACGTGAGCACATCTTCAAGGGGAAAGGTCAAGCTGAGAGAGAGCGCGTTTCTTCGATGCCTCTTCTGCCGTGTGGTGTAGTGTGTTGTGCTGTCCGCGAGGTTGTCGGCGCTGCTGAAGCTCGTCTGGATGGTGGTGTCTTAGTCTCTTCTTGTCAAGGTTGGCGCGTTATACTCAGCAGGAGTTGGCGCGGACCCCTCTCAGATGTACTGCTGTTGGCTTCATGTGCAGCGAGCCGACTCCGAGTCTGAGCGGCGTGCGCTCTCCTTGTGAGCTAGATCACTCAGCCACGCGAATGACGGCGACGGCATCAACCAACGCGAAGCACCTGACTCGTGGCAGCAGGCAGCATGTTGTCGCAGCGTTTTGCATGCAGGTGGTGTTGCCTATGTTGGTGTCGTCCAGCGTACTCTGATGGGGGTGGGTGGGTTCTTCGTGTTCGGAAAGTGATCCGCCCGAGTCGGTTGATTCGGGGGCGCTTCTTTCGTTGCCTGAACATGAAAAGGGGAGCTGCGAAGCGTTTGACCCGTAGGCTGCGCCTTCTGTTCATGGCTGAAGCGGATGAGCAGACGCGAAGCCTCGCCTGCCGTTTATGCCGTGTTGCCTTTTATCGCAGCACCGCTTGCCTTGTGCCTTCTTGTATATTGTATATGGGGTTCGTTGCCCCTGCCTACTCCTTTTTGTGTGGAGTGGCGTTATGTTTTCCCCTTGTATGTAAGTAACTGGCTCTAGTCACAAGCTTACAAGCATGGATCGCCTCCACCTTCATATCGCGTTTTGTATGAGTTTCACCTATCGCAGCTGCGCGACAGGGATGGGCCGGCTCGCTTTCTTGAGATTGGGCTAGGCTGCACAATGCGACATGGAGCTGGAGGGTCGCGGGAGATTTGGGAGAAGTATTTCAATAGGCCAGAGCTATGGTTTGGCGAGTACAATGCAAAGTGCGTTGACGAGTATAAGCGCAGGCACCCAGGCTTCAGCAGGATTATGGTAGGCGATCAATCAAATCGAACTGATCTCGCGCGCTGGGTAGAGACATCTGGTGGCAATTTTGATGTGATTGTCGACGATGGCGGCCATCGTACCCCGCTGCAAATGGGTGCATTTTATGGACTTTTTCCGAGTCTAAAGCCAGGCGGGCTATACTTTATAGAAGATATTCACTACCAGAGAGATGCGTTCGATAGGAAAACTAAAATGTCAGGCGTGCTGCGCACGCTTCTCGACTGGAGCGCGCAATTAGTGGGAGTCTCTCGCATTGCTAAGCCTTACAGCTCGACATTGCCGCCGGATATACAAAGCATAGAGTGCATGAAACACATGTGCATGATAGTCAAAAAAGATCCATCTCTGTTTGATAAGAATCCGCGCACAGGTCATGCTCAGGCTCGCCCTACTGCTGCTGTAGGGCGTGGACCCGAGAGCTTTTATGATATTTGCAAACGCAATCTGCTGTCTGATAAGTGCTCAGACCGACAGGACCGGCATTTCTATCACGTTCTTTACGAGAGCCATCTCAGGCATCTTCGCAAAAGAAGAGAACCTGTTCGGTTTTTCGAAATTGGTCTCGGATGCACTATGCGGTATGGAGCTGGAGGATCTCGACAAATTTGGGAAGCCTATTTTGACCATGTCGATTTATGGTTTGGGGAATACAACAGAGAGTGTGTGAAGCAGTACCGCGAGAACAATCCAAACTTTAAAAACATCGTCGAGGGCGACCAATCCAATAAAGAAGATCTTCAGCGATGGGTAGCAGCCAGCGGTGGAAACTTCGATGTAGTCGTCGATGATGGCGGTCATCGCACACCGCTGCAGATGGGAGCTTTCTACGGTCTTTTTCCTCACGTCAAACCAGGAGGACTGTACTTCATAGAAGATATCCATTATCAAAAAGATGGCACTGACGGACACAGCGTCCACTCCGCAGTTCTACGAACGCTGCTCGATTGGAGTGCGCAGCTGGTTGGTGTGGTGGATTCCTCCGCCTACGAGTCTAAGGTCCCAGACGATGTACAGAGCATCGAATGTATGATGCACATGTGCATGATAGTGAAGAAGGATCCCGCTCTGTATCCTTACTAATTATGTGCCACTAATCTGGCTGCTTTTCCTCTTAGTTAGCTACATGCATGTATGCCACCGGCGGCACACCTAGTTCCTGTGGTGTGATCCCTGGCGTCTACAATTTGGAGAGGCTCGGCCCGGCATCTGCATGCCATCCGGAGACCCTGTTCGATGGCGCTGTTCTCCACGTTGTGGATTTTATCATAAAGCGGGCGGCCTGTAGCATTGTTAACAAGCAGGGCTACTGAGTCATTATTTATCCTACATTCAAGAAAGGGGGCAAAACTGGCAAAGCCAGCAGCGGTGTGCACCTGACAAGCGCGGGCACGTAATACCTGGACCTCTCGGGGGAATCGTGGGCGAGGGAGCCACAGCTGCGATCCGATCGCCACAAACCTGAGATCGAACAAGCGAAAAGGAAGAGCGCCCGAGGACCAAACAGGGACGCGAAGGGAGAGAAGACAGGAGAAGAATTAGGCCGCGACGGCTGCTACATACCCACCCGAGAAACCTTCGGCCACGGTCTTAGAGGCTACGACTACCATGGGGAAAAACGCCGGAAGCGCTTGGCGTGGCTATCTGTAGAGGTGGAAAAAGGTGGAAAGGCCTTGCGCCTTTTTTCCCGTTTCTGACTGAAGCGGAGGAGTTCGAGGGGAAGACAAAGACGGGCATGACATGCGCCAAAGAGAAGCAAAAGCCGCAGCGAGCGCAGCGAGAGCAAAGGGGCGGGCATGTGGGCAAGCTTGACCCCGATAGAGAAAGCGCTGGGGACGGAAGACATAGGAACATGGGAAAAACTGCGAGACACGCGCACACGCATGAGGGGGGAGCGGATAGACGCGAGCAACCATGAGGAAAAAGATCAACTGGGACAAAAAACGCAAAGGAGGAGAAGGAAGCACAAGCAGCCAGGGATCGTCATGGAGCCGGCCCTAACGGGGTCTCGACAAAACGGCGCCGGGCCCCCAAGGGCTGCCGCTCGGGCCCTTCAACCAAGAGTGGAGGCTGATAGCTACCAACGACGCAGGCCAGCTGCAAGCTATCTGACGGCGAAGCGCACAGCCTGAAAAAGTTGGGAAAATCGGAGACAGAAGCACAAGTGGGAAAAACAGGGAAGGGACAAGAGCAGCCATGTGCCTTAACGTGTGACAAAGACGCGGCAAGGTTGTGGCCGCAGGGCCGACAACGTCGGAAGCGCGGGGGAGCAGGGAAGGGGAAGAGGATGAAAAAGAGACAAAACGAAAGACGCAAAAAACAAGCACCAGCCAGTGCCTGACGTTGGGGTGGCGAGTGTGCATCGTGCCAGGAGCCGGACGCCATAGGTGCCACGCCCTTGCTGGCCAAGCAAAAACAAAAGGAAGCAGCAGTACTAGAGGGCATGGGATGAGGGTGAAGGGCTGACGCTTGGAAGATGGGGAGCCAACGACGCCAGACGACTGAGGCCTGACAACTCGAGCAAGGCACACCGGGGGGGGAGGTGTCTGCACATGGGAGGGAAGCGCAGGCGCATTGGCTTGGAACTGACAAAGAAGCAGGGAGACGAGCGGCGGCAGAGATGTACTAGGGGCCAGTATAAATATTTCTCGCATTCACGCGGCCGCAGGTGATAGGGGGCAACACAGTGAAGAAGCTGGGGCGCTAAGACTTGCCACGAGGGTGTAGGACGCGCAGGACCACAAACCAGCCCCATCTCCACCCAACCGACACAGCGTGAAGAACTTGGTGAGGAAAGTTTCGGGCCCCGCAGGCTGGCAGCCTCTCTGACAGTGCAGCACGAGACAGCAGCCCAGGGCGAAAAATAGGGCAACAAATACAACAAGAGGGCCAAGAAGGTGAAAAGCAAAGTGAGCAAGTGGGAAAACGGTAGGGCCCAGAACAAATGGACAACCGAAGAGAGAGAGAGAGAGAGAGAGCGCGAGAAGAGAGGGAGAGAAAAAGCCGAGGGAGCAAGACAAAGACAGAAGAAGACGAAGCAGGAGAAGGGAATGCCAAAAGCGTTGGGAAAATAGAGGGAGAACTCCCCAAAAGCAGGAAGGGGCAAATCAATGGAGCCAAGAGACAGACCCACGGCCACAAGCCTGAGGGCGGTAAACAGTGAAGAAGCGCGGCGGGCTCGGAATCCATTTGCAACAGAAAAGCGAAGGCGACTGCGTGCAGGACTCGCAAAAACGTGCGAAACGTTCGCCAAAGAGATATCCAGATCAGGGCCCAGCTTTTTCGATCGGCTGGCCTTTTCGATCGGCTCTGGGGGTTGTTTAGTCTCATCGGCTCGGCCAGGTGTTTCCACGGGTCATGCTCGTCCGCGATTGTGTTTTTCTTGTGTGTTGGTTAAGTATCGGCACCACGAGACTTTTTATGTTTTCTGACAGACGACAACCGCAGGGGGCAAAAGCACTTCTGCGGGGTGTGTCTGTGTTAGATTCTAGGCAGGCACGCAGCCACCTCCCTGCCCCTTTGGCCCGGGTGTCTGCTGTGTTGCAAAATTTGCTGACGCGCCACCGAGAAAAGCTAAGCCGGTCGTGTCTTGGTTTTCAGCATCTCAGGGCCCATGGCGATGGCGAAGGCGCCGCGAGGATTATTCTACTTTCCCGAGCGTCACTGGGCAATACGGTCGCCACCATATGAAGCGGCTAACTAAGCGACTTGCAAAGAAGTGCGCAAATAGATAAACTATAGCTTGGGGCCTACCTACTGACAGCCAGCTTCCACAAGGACGACGCAGCACTTCGGCTGAGCTGGTTCGGCCGAGCGCGTGGCGCGCGGGGAAGCGGCGTCGGCAATGTTTAGCGTCGCTGAGTGCATCGGGGCCGTGCATCTTACGGGTTGGCACGCTGCGCTATCGTTCAATGGTAGGAGAGTCCCCCCTTCTCATTCATGTCGGCGCGGCGGCGCGCTTCACTTCCACGAACGAAGGTCCAGCCCACGCCCACTCGTTGCTTCACATTCTCGCGCGCAGCCCACGTGCCCGCCCTTTTTTCTCGTTTCATTCGCTTCCTTCTGTCTTGTTAGGTTTGGGCTTTGCGGGTCTCTCTCTGTCGTATGCTTTCAGTTGCTGCCCTTGCTTTTTTTTTCAGCGGAGAGGGCTCACCGCTCCACGCTCCCCAGCGTGTGGCGCCGTCCCGTGTCACAGACTTGCTTATAGTCCTGCGCGCGTCACGCTCCCCAACGCTGGACGCCGGCACGTGGCACGGCCATGGCCTTGCTTCGTGTGTCACGCTCCCCAGCGCGTGGCGCCGAGAAGTCAGCGCCACGCCGATGGCCCCCCTCGCGTGTCACGCTCCTCCGGTGGGTGTGGTGGGTAGGCAGGCACACCATCGGGCTAGCGTTTTCTTTTTTGCTTTTATGGCAATTCTTAGCTTACTTAGCTGCTTCATCCATTCTGTTGCCAGAATATGCCGTATCCGTTGGCTGCAATGTCTCGCTGTCACATTTCGACGCTGTTTCTTTATCGCACACGCATTTCGAGCCACCACTGGGACGAGCAGGCAACTTGTGGGAAAGATGCAACTGCTCGAACGCAGGTGGGAAAATCTGCATTGCAAAAGAGGAGAGTGCAGAAACGTGTAGGGCGTTGCCTTCCCACTTGCAAGTACTAGCGGCGGCCATCCCACCGAAAAAGGCGGCTTGTATGCTTCAATACACACTGCTGCGAGGGATGAATGAGACGGACAGGGAGGAAGGAAAGGAGAAGAGTGGGGGCGCCAATCCCAATGCTGAAATTGGGACGATGTCAAAAACGATGGCAAAAAAATGGCCTTGGCGAATGACTGGCTTCTGGAAAAAAAACGCCCACGCGCTGCTGAGAAATACCGTGTGGGGTCGAATAGCGTCGCGAGCTGACTTGCTGCCTTCGTGTGTCAGTAATTTTGTAATCGGCCCGCCTACAGCCAGCATGCTTCGGCATCTGGACGCCTCAGTTGCACCAACCACGACTGGGCCCGGGCCCGAGCGCATCTTTCTCATTGGTATACACACTCGCTTTGGTGATCGCGGTCCCTGGCGAGATTTTGTACGCAGAGTCTCCCTCGATGAAAGGGTGGCCGAGAAGATGTTTCCAGCTTACATGTCGCGTCTGCGAATGTACAGGCGGCAAAGCCTAAACTTTCCTGCCAAGTTCGAAGAGTTCATGCGCCAAGTTGAAGCTCTTTTTTCAGCGCTTCGCAGTAAAGCCATTCGTGCAGCTTTATCAGAGCGGCAACTCGCACCGAAAGTATTCCTCGCAACCGACACCTCAGTGGTGGAGGCCGCTTTCGCAAATGTGTCTCGGGGGTATTCGTTGTCGTCGTCGAGCCTGCAGAGTGCGATTAGCATGGATCTGCAGTGGCGTATCTTGGAGCCAGCGGTCATTGGCACAGACGCGAGGCGAAAATTTCGAAAAGTTGTGCAAGAGGGGGAAAAGAAGCTTGCTGCCTCGTGGCGCCTGTTGACATTGTCGGACGTCATACTAACTTACGGCACTGCTTCAACGATGGCGTGGACAGTGCGCACTCACGGCTTCCAGTCCTCGTATGATTTCAGCACATTAACGGACAAAAAAATGATAGAACTCATTTTGAAACGGCTACACAGCGCGTAATCTCCCGCATTTTTGATAGGCCCACCGCCTTAAAGATGGCGATCTGCTTGGAATCCATAAAGATGGCGATCTGCTTGGCGCTATTATGGTCCAGGGGAGTGTCGCTATCGTCGCAGCTCGCACTGTTTTTCACAAGACGGAGCATTCTCTTTGCCGCTCCCACTGTCGTCTACTTTGCCCAAGACGGTTTGCTATGGGGATACTAGGATCGGACTCGTATAGTACGCAGAACAGCTTCTAGCGCGCATGGTGCATGGAGGGAGCTCTTCCGCCACCCCCACGCATGGAGTGCGTGGAGCACTTGCCCCATTCCTACGCATGGACTGCATGGGGTGGCCACGTGTCACGCATGGACTGCATGGAGCACGAGGTGGCGCGCTAGCCTCTGCCGTCGGCCACTCTTCTCCTGTCGATCGATGGAGCAGCGGCACAAAGCAAAAGCGGCCCAGGACTAAGAGGCCGTCCCCCCTCGCCTGTCCGCTTTCTATGGTTGCGGACCCAGTAGGGGGCGCCACTGTGAGCCTCGGGCCGTTCCCGCTTGAGAGCCCGGCCGTCGACGAGCCCCCCCGGCCTCCGGTTCTGCGGGGTACATGCAAGAAAGGCGCCCCTTCAGCCCGGCAGACCGTGCCAAAAGGGGCCCCGCCGGGACTAAGAGGCTCCCTCCTCGCCTTCCTAGGTCGGGGATGCGTCTTGCGCCCTGGTTGAGCCCTGGGACACACATACGCAGCCCTCCTCTTCAACTTTTTGCATGAGTCAGCCCCGTGTAGTTGCGTAGAGCGGTGCAGCATGCAGTAGCGAGGCTTGCTCCGGCAGGAGAGTGAACCCCCCGAGGGTGTGGCTTGCTGGGTCTTTTGCCGAAATTTCCGGGCCCCGAAGTACCTGGCAACGACCACCAGGGGCAGCAATGTGCGCCAGGGCGCCTCGACCTATGTTTGTAGCAGCAGGCCCGGACTGCCGGCCAGTGTGGGTGTGGTGTTTAGTCTTCGAGCCGGCCGCCGCGTCGTCTCATCATCGCAGTACAGGGCTGCAGCGGACTAGTTTCGGGCGCAGGGGTGTCCGAAGCGAAGGGCACCTCGCAAAGTTTTCACGCATGGGGTGCATGGAGTAGAAGTTGGGGCTGGTGAGATTCTTGCCAGTCCATGCGACTCCGTGTGATTCATGCACCCCATGCCATGCACGCCAAAGAAGCTCCTACATTATTCTGGTAGAAGATCAGATAGGCGCGCGCTGTAATGTGCCCTATCTTATGCCGGTCGCGAGTGTGTAAGATGTAGATGTGGCTTGCGAGCTGACGCTGAGGCGAAGGAAGCTGCGGTATGAGTGTCCGATGCTCTGGGCCCGCACTAGGGGCCAGTGGGCACTAGTGGGCAGGGCCGCCGAGGCGACGTGCAGAGTGTATACAGTCAAGTGCTAAAGAGATGGCGTCTCTATCTGCGTCCCGGGCACGACGTAAAACTGCGCCCTGCCGTGTTGACGGTGCACCCTCAAGGATGAGAAGACGAAGAGAAGGAAGAGACCAAGAAAAGCCTGAGGAAGGTGGCGCCGGGGGGGACTGGCACCACAAGAAGAGACAGGGAGTGACGGGAAGAGCCGCCGCTGGACGCGCGTCCGCGCGCGCCATCGCAGGACTCAAAAAACCATCAAAAACTGGACGCGGGGACTTTATTGTCGCCGTGGGCACAGCACGAGGAGGAGGCGTGGGTCGTGACCCGCGAGCGAAGCGAGCCGCGAGCCCTTAACCGCGAGCCGCGAGCCGCGAGCACCCAGGCGAACCTGGGGAGAAGCTGCAGGCCTTTTGGTGTCCGTCTGACGGTCTATGTCTTTCCGCGAGCAGCCGCCAATGGGCCCGTGTGTCGCCGTAGTGGGTGTTCTTCTCGTGGGAAGCCCTTACCCGAGCTAGAGCCCCTGGCCGTTGTCGTTGCCACGGGCCAGAGCCTACCCGTGCAAGCGTCCTGCGGTACGCGAGCCGCCTACCCTTTGTCGTGCGCCCGAACACGAGGGCCACGGGCCTCTGCTTGCCGCAGAGTGGGCACGGGGATTTGTGGCGGACCCGTCGCCCGGGTTTTGGGAAGCTAAGCTCCGGGGGCGGGGCCAGGTTCGTCGGCTACATATCCACGCCGCGCACATTACAGCACCGAGCGACCCGGCAACCCGCCGCGGCCCTTTGTCGGGTCTCTGCTGCTTTTCTGGTTCTTCAGTCGTTTGGCCGTATGTTCTTCGCCTCTCTCAATCAACAAAGCAGACAGGATTTTCTTTTTTGGCGGTGGCTAAAAACGTGAGAAATTTGAAGAAGAGAGAAAACCCCCCCCGGGTTCTGGTTCATTTGTTGCATAATTTTTGTTTTCAGTTCAACCATAAGACAAAAAAAACTGAGCGCGAAAAATGTCGAAACCCGGCCAACAAGAAGCCCGCGAAGGGCCGACCCTTGGAGAGGTGGAGAGCCTACGGGCAAACCTGGCCCCCCCGCGGCAGCTTCTCTTCAATGGTCAGGCGGTAACTTGTCCCCTGTGTCTCAAAGCAACGAAGAGCAGGAAGAGCCACAACGAGTGGCGCAAAATGGGAAAAGTTTGCGCCGAGCCAATCTCCGCCGAGGAGGTTCGCGCCGCTGTAGACCGAGCAGGTGACGCAGGTGCGAAGGCTTCAATGCCCCAGGTGTTTGACAAGGGGAGCAAGGCGAGGGAAGTGGCGCAAGTTGAGTCGCTCCTGGGGCTTTCGTTGGCGAACCCTCGGGAGGTTGTTCCAGGCCACAGCTGCTCGATCTGTGAGCGTGTCAACGCGCAGGCGGATCAGCGTGATCAGCGCCGCGGGCATCGTCGGAAGAGTAAGCCAGGTAAGTTTTTTCTTTTTAGTTGTTTTTGAGTTTGTTTTGTAGCCTTGTTGGGTCCTTTTAAAATTTTCGGCCTCTGGGTGTCTCATCGCTCGGCTCGTTGCCGGTGTTTCTGGAGTTTTGCAACACCTGGCGGCGTGTCCGTTGCCCGGGTGTGTGTTGTATCTCCGCACGGGGCTCGCCCGGAGGCCCTCCCCTGCCGATGGGGTTGCCCTCACTCTGCCCCTAGCTTAGGTGCAAAAAAGTGAATCAATAGGCCCGCCCCCGCCGTTGTTCCACCCCGCCCCTCACGCGCGCCCGCTTCGTGGAGATGGGACCCGGATCGTTTGGCAGTTCTGGGGTCAGCGTGAGAGAGAGCCGAAGAAGGCGCGGACGTCGGTGAGAGAGAGCAGACCGAAGGAGAGTGCGCAGATGTTCTGAACTAGTTGTAGAAGTCGCGCAGTGTAGGTGTAACTGTGAAGAGTGTGATGCCTGTGATGTAGACGCGTCGCCGTCCTCGTCGTCTTCCTCCTCCTCTTCTGGGGGGGCGCGTGTCCTCCTTTTCGGGTGGAAGGTTGTGCCAGCCACCTCGTCGCGCTTGGCCGTCCAGCGCGCAATGCCTTGGCGGTTGATCTTCGCCGGAGCCTAATATCACTTGGGCCGGAGCCGGATCGTGTCTATAGTGATACAAAAACGCGGACCAAGCTGCGCCGCTTTTTCTTGGATTGGTTCGACCTTCATGCGGGGCACAAGTATCCGGCCCTCGAGTGGGGCAGTCGTTCGCTGGACACTCTTCGGGAGGCGATGGCGGGAGGCCGTTGGGAGTTTCAGGCCCTCTTGTCTGCGATAGTGTTCGACGGTGATTCGGAGTTTGTCAGCCCGAACTGTAACCTGGGCGGATTTCTCGGGTACCGCATCAACCGAGTCAAGCAGGCGCATGGACTGCCTCCGGCGTTGCATGCCAGGCACGTAGCTTTCGATGCTTACCTCGGTGCGCCTTCGGCTATCCGTGACCCTTCGGGCGAGCTGATCGCCCTCGCGACCAAGGTGCGGCGCTACTGGGATCAGATTGAAGGTGATATCTGGGCGCTTCATGAAAAGGCTCTGGCACCGCCCCGAGCAGAAGCACCAACCAAAGTCGAGGCATGTAGTGTTCAGCATTGATTGGCTTGGTCGCTGTTTTTCAGTTGATGGGAAGACACCAACCGACAGACCGACCCAGTTCATTTGCCGTAGCTCGTAGATATCATTGCCATTCCACCCCCCGACTAAATCCATCGACCCAATCGACCACCCCCGCCAGGTGCTACGTGTCCCGCAGTAACGGAGTCGGCGACATTGTCGGCGCGAATGTCCTCGCTTGGTGGCAACAGCAGCAGCAACCTTTGCCCACCTGTGAGGGGCTCGAAGAGCGGGCCGCGGTGTGAGTCGGTCTTCTGTTTGTTGGCTGGAGTGTGTCCACACGCAAAGAACAAGGAGGACAAGAGCAGCCGTGCCTCCATTGGGCATCTTTTGCGCTCGGATGTGGCGCCGAGCAACCCTGAAGATGTGGGCACTGTGGACGAGTGTAGGGATGTCGAGGATGTGGACGGTGCTTGTTTTTTGTTTCCTTGTTTGTCTCCCTTGCTCTTGTTCTTATTGTGTCTCCGTCTTCCTTTTGTCTTCGTCTCTTCATCTGGCAAATGATAACGATCTCACTGCCACAGGTTTAGACTTCGGGCTGGCAGAAGATGGACCCGACGAAGCAGAAGGAGCCGGCACCGAGAACCCGGACGCAGACCAAGCCGCTGCGTCGTCTGCGAGGATCTCCCCGGAGGAGAAGGAGTGGGCGGAAGATCGCGCTTTGTGTTATGGTGACAGGTTGACGCCTGGGGTCTCTCCTCTCCTCCCTTTCACTAACCCTAAACCCTAAACCCTATGAACATTCTCCCTTCTCTAGTAGCAACCTTGTCGCCGGTTATCATTCACAGGCTCGCTCGCTTTCGCTAATTAGCAATCTCAATTGATTCACGATCTCCCCTCCCCTCTCCTCTCTCTCTCCCTTTCTCTAATTTTCGGTAAAGATGCACTGCAGCGAGGAGGCGGGCACACTTTTTCGGCATCCGGTTTGCAATGCGGTGCAGGTCCTTCAAGTAGCGCCCTCGGCAGTTTTCGAGACTGGCCCGAAATGTAGCGCGCCAGCGGTCACCTTCCGCCACACAGAGAAGACGCAGGTCCGTGCGGTTCTCGACTACCATGGAAGCACGATGGTGGCAGGGCGATGGTTGAAGGGGAGTTGCGGTTGCAGCTTCGGTGGTGTACTATGTTGCTTGTGTGGTATGTTTGGGCTTTATTGGGGTGCATAGATATGAATCGCTATAGCTCGTAGGATCACTCGTAGGGCTTAGCTGCTAGGCCTGTGGTTCGTTCTCTCCGATGTTGCCCCTGAAAATCTCCCAGGTGTCTCCTACTACGGACTGAGCCTATTCCAGGGCGCGGGTGTTGCGGTTGGTTCGTTGGAGTCCCATGAGATATTCTCCCGCAAGGCTTACGAACGAGTTGGAGCGGATATTATTCGAAACGCGCGTGGGCTCGAGCGAGTGGGCAACTCGCTGGCGAGTTTGCGCCTGTCTCCGCATCAATTTCCTTCCATCGAGGTAATGCCTCCGCTCCTCTCTGTCTGTTGCTAGCGACTAGTCCTTTCTCTTCCTCTCTAGTCTGTCACAAAATGGAGCGCCCCTGGCACTCCTTGGGTCGTGTTCCAAAGGGCCAAAATTCCGGACCAGTGGTCCGGAATTTTGGCCCGATGGAACGCGCCTTCCTCGTTTTGCTTTTTTCATCTTATCTGGTGCTCCTCCCTTCCCCGGTGTTTCTTGCGCAAGGAGGAGACTCGGTCGTCGCGGCAAAGCAGTCCGTCGCCTCTATCGCGGGCCCGGATGTGATGGCGATCGCAGTGGGCCACTCGTGGCGCACCGCGAACGAAAAGCGTGGGCGCATAATGTTCACCGTTATCGGCTACACCCGGGACGGACCTCGCGTGCTCGCCTGTGTCTTCGTTGACAACACGAAGATGGGGACCGTGGGGCACGTCTTGAAAGACGTCGCTGAACGTTGCCCACGTGTTGCCACGGTCTTCGTCGATGTCGGTTGCGCCTGCGGGAAGCATCTCGTTTGGGATGGGCCTGCCCAGGAATGGGTCCGCCAGACATGGGACTACACTGAGTTCTGGCGCAGAGTCTTCGGCGCTGACCGGCCTTTCTATATCAAGCTCGACCGCTTCCATCTGATCAAACGCCTCCGCACCGGTATGAACATGGCGCGCAAGCTTTCGGGTACGTTTCTGCGCCTTGTTGGTGAGATCCTCAGCAAGGACGACGCGCACGCGGTCGAGGAAGAGGCTGCTCTTCTTTTCGCGCAGTATGAGCACTTCGGCTACACCGGCCGACCTCTCTTCAGCAGCAAGATGCCAGAGATATTCGCGTCCTTTATTGGCCACATTCGGGCCGGATGTGTCCAGGACACGGACTCAGTCCGACGGTACCAACGAGAGCAGCAGGATAAGCCTGCCGGTGAGAAACGATACGTGGGCCGTGGTAGCAATGCGGTGGAACAGTGGCCCTCCCTCTTCAGGAGTTTCTTCCCGCGATAGCTAAGCTGCATATCCTCCGCGGTGATGAGCGTCGCCGTCGCCCGCGGTGTCCTGCACTTCAATTCGTCAGACAGAGACGCGCGGCCGGGACGCGTGCGCAGTAGACTGCTGCCGCGCCTCTCGTACCCGGAGAAGTCTGCCGCCCCTCCTGTCGTGTTTGGAACGGAGTTCCGCGAGCGTGTTCGCCTCCCCGAGGGTATCTATCCCAGTCGAAAACCCTACCCGGCCAAAACTCGACCAACGCGTGCGCGACGCAGTTGCCGCGTGCTTATCGTGGGCGCAGGTTTTGGACGTCTTGCGGCGCGCTGGTGTGCATAAGAATGTGGCCGGCCTCTACGACATCACTCCCCTGCGTGTCCGCCGCGATGAAGGAGTATCGCCCTACCGCCTCTGCCAGGCGCTTTCCGCGCTAGAGAAAAGCGCAGCAGGCCGCGCAATGTCGTCGACATCGACAGCGGTGGACGCAGCGGGCGCATCGTTGCCGGGAACCATGACAGGAGACGACGGCGCGACCCCGGCCTTGGGTGAGCCGGATGCGCAGACGCTCGAAAGTGCATTCAGCTGCGCAGCGTCTGGCGGCTCTGGTGGTGTGTCTGGTCTTGGATCCTTCGGCAGCATGGTCGACGCGCCGGATGGCCTTGGTGGTGCGCAACGTTTGCCAGCATCTTCGCCGCCTGTTAGTCATGCGGCTACCTCGTCCTCGTCAAGCAGCGTTGCCGCTTTGCCAAAGGTGTCCGCCTCGGTTGCTTCCACTGTTGTGGCATCTCGGCCAACTCCTGGCACGGTGGCAGCGCCTAGCCCTACTTCTACATCGACATCTTCGACGGCCGCTCCGTCCTCGTCTTCGACAGTTCAGCTTGCTGCTGTTTCGTCGTCTTCTGCAGCGGAAGTGGGTGGATCCTCTTCAGCGTTTTCGTCGCTTGGTGCTCTGTTGGAGCTCGGTGCGTCAAGTGCAGGGTCCGCATCTGCTGCTGTGGTCTGCAAGGTGTGCAAGACAACCCGCCTTGCGCAACACACTGCCACCGCCGGTGAGCGGATCTGCGGGACGTGTCGACCATTCGTTGACCGGTGGGCCAACGCGTTAACCCCAGAGCAGGCCCAGGCGGTTGCACAGCTTCCGAACGCCAAGGGGCTCGTGGGTGGTGATCTCGCGCTCCCGGAGCTGTTGCGAAGGGATGCCAAGCACAAAAAGAGGATCGTGGAGGTCCCGCGAAAGATTACGCCGGAAATGGCTTTCGAGCTATGGCCCATCGTCAAAAAAAACACGAAGAACGCGAGGCAGTGGCCTGGCAAGAGGCAAAAGACAAAGCCACCAAAAAGCGAAGGCAGTAGCTAGGCCGTCGCTCTAGACTCATAGAATGACTCTAGTCGAAGAGCGTCGCCGTTTTCCTGTCTGTTGTTCATATCTGTGCGGCCATATCAGGAAGATGCAACTACTGCGCTCGAGATCACGGCGCTACTTTTTTGCTCATGTCTTTGAAACCAGAGCTATTGCGTTCAAGACTCAAGCAAGTACTTACTGCATTCGCATAATTATGTAACTACTTCAAGAAGATCGATGTGACAGCATGCCAGCAACGTGGTGAAGTGTAGCACGTTCAAGAAGATCGACGCGGCATTATGTTGAAATATAGCAAGGAACTGCAACAAGCCGAAAACAGGCGAAGAGCGAGGGAACAAACCGCGACGCACGACCAGCCAACAAGTCGCGGCGCCAGGCTTGTTCCATCGGGCCAAAATTCGGGGCCTCGGGTCCGGAGTTTTGGCCTTATGGAACACGTGGCCATCTGGCTTGTTCCATAGGGCCAAAATTCGGGCCCACTGGTCCGGAATTTTGGCCCTTTGGAACAAGCGGCCATCTGGCTCTGCCTGTCTTTCCTGCTCGGTGTGCCGTGTTTCCAGTCCATTGCGCGCAAGATCGTCGTCGAGATCACTGCCCCCAGATGATCGCAGCCATCCGCTAAAAGATCCACTCCGTGAAAGGAAAGACGGGATCTGTTGTCATCTGTTGCCTGGCCTCAAACAAGAGCAAGATCCTCATCTGTTGCCTGGCCTCAAACAAGAGCAAGATCCTCATCTGTTGCCCGGCCTCAAACAAGAGCAGGATCGTCATCTGTTGCCCGGCCTCAAACAAGAAAAACTAGATCCCTTTTTATCTCTTGCGAACAAGAGACCCAGCTTCCTCTGTTGTGAACAAGAGAAACAAGATCCAGCGTCACCTGTTGCCCGGCCTCAAACAAGGCGCACAAGGATCCATCCCGCGCCCCGTCCCCGAATAAGAGTTGTCTGGCGTAGGTTCATAGTAGTAACGGAAAGGATCGAGGTAGATATAGCGAACAAAAAGGCTATATCAGAGCTATAGCATAGAGCTAGAAGGAGTGCCACTCTTTAGGCGCGTATGTGGTTAGCCTGCCCCTTAGGGCACTCGCGGCTTAGTGACCCGCGATCGCGGGCCATCAAGCCACCCCCCACGTCCCCGCCCCCAAAAAGGATCTGGGGGGCACACTCGACAAAAGCAGAAAAAAAGGAAGCGGAGGGAAGAGAGAGAATGAAGGAAGGAGAAGACAGGAGAAAGACGTGGAGGAGGGGGCCCGTGAGGGGACCTGGCGCGCAGGGTCAGGCGGATCTGGAAAAAAGAGGGGTGATAAAACGGCACAGAACTTGAAACCCCTAGGACTCCAGATCCTCCCCCCGCCGCCGTATGTTGCGGCGTCCTCCGCATCGAAATGGGAGGGGCAGCACAATATGATATGGGCGAAACGTCGAAGCTGCAGCAATTGATGCGGGGTTCGCCGTCCATCATCGATCGCTTTTCTAGGTCCCTTGGCGACTGCCTGCGGCTACTGCTCACCGTTCCGCAAGCCATTTATTTTACAGAGCGTGCCCATAAGTTCGCCGCAAAAGGCCACCGTGGGCGCAGTGCGTTTTCAACGGTGAACGAAGCCGCGTGGTGTGGGCGATATCTGCAAAGTAATCATATGCGGGAGGTAGTCCAAAAGCGAAAGCCTGGGCCTATGACGCTGGGAGAGGCGTGCGCGAAATCAGGCGCCAGGCAAGTGCGGGGAAATTCAGCGTTGGTCTCGGTTAGTTGTGAGAAAGATTCTACGTGGGATGTGGCGAAACAGGTGCTGAAAGACGTGGCGTTGTCGTATGCGGGAGAAGCAGCTGACCCAGAGATGTGCCGTCGTCTGCGTGACCAGGTCAAACTCCTTCGTCGGCGCTTGATGCTCGCAGCTTCGGATAAGTTGCAGAAGCGTCTTGAAGTGGAGCAAGCAGCGAAAGCAAGGGGACTAGATCTCATGACGAAACTCAAGGCAACAAACACCACCAACGCAGACCAGCTTGCTACGGATCGCGAGATCTGCGAGGAGGTGACCTCCCGGCGTGCTATGGATGTTGATAAAGCAGCCGCGGACGCAATAAAGCCGTGCATTTTGAGCGACCAGCAGCTTCAGGAGCTGGCTACCCATGCCGAGGCGAATGCGTTCAAGTTGCCGCTCTTTTCGCTTGCCGATCTCGACTACAGAGTCACGCATCTGGTTCGCAGACAAGCGGGTGGGACTGATGTGCGAGGTGGCTTGTTGATACTGCGCCGGCGGCGCGCGTCTGGATTTGATTTGTGCGCGCCTCTGGATATTTTTCAGATAACGAGGGTTGCCCTGAATCCATACGATCTTGGTGGTGTGCGCTTGGTTGTCCGCGCTGCAGCTGGTGGCAACAAAGCAGAACTGTGGAAAAGTTCTGGCTACACGCTCTTCACGCAGTGGCAAGACGAAGTAGAGGCTTTTCATCTGCCGCCAGATCGAGTCCCTCGCGCCTCCGTTGCGTGTTTGCAGGTGGGCTTTTGTCTTACGTCCGCGTCTGTTATTTTTTGTCCTGGAATGGAGAAGCTTAGCACCGGGAATGTTTATCGCAGGAACAACGCGGCGCGAATCAGAAGCGACGCTCGGCGTCGGGCTAAGGAGATACGAGCTAACATTCGCCAGGCTCGCGACTTGGATGCTAACGGTGCGCTCCGCAACGTCCAGGCGCATGAGAACTACGAGCAGATCCGTGCTGATGCGCGAGCGCAGCTTGCAGCTGCTCGCGAAGCGGTTGGAGCGCGACAACCTGGCCCCAACTTACAGGCTGACGAAGACGAGGACGATCCGCAGGCAGATCCGGAGATGCGATGCTATCCGCGAGGAGGAGGATGGACGATGATCAACAGGGGGGCGTCCGTCGACGTTTGGCGATTCGAAATTGTCAGTAAAACGCTGCGTGAGAAATGCAAGAGCTTGGGGATGCCTGTGACACGCGATAGCGCAGTGAAGCTCTGGGACACATTGGAGCGAGCGCGTGGGAGTTGTTTTCTCGTGCGGGATGTCATGAAGTGGCGCCACAGAAATGGTCTCTCCAGGTTCGACGTCAATGCTGCGCCTTCAGCGCGCACAATTCTACTGCGTGAGGAGTACCGCGATGGCATCGGCCGTCGTGTGATCGCTGATCGTGATTTCTTAGACAACAGGCAGGAGCTCAATAGACTGAAGCGAAAGGATTTCTTTGATAAGTGTGCAGCTCTTGGCGTTTCCGTTCATTATAGTAGAATAGTTTATAGACGGTGGGAAGGTGGGCACGGTGGGCGACGCTGGGCCGCTGGGCGGCCACGCTTGGCACGGTGGGCGGACCCTTGGCACACATGGAGGGCACGGTGGGCGCACGCTGGGCGCGTATAGCGTTGGCCCGCTGCTTCCGCCAATGTACAGGGCCGCAGTCGAGGGCAGCGCGGCGCTGTGCTTCTTCGCGGAGCGGCCACGTTCTCGCTGCTTGCGGTGCTTCGCTGCTGTCTGCAGTGCCGCCTGGGTGTGTAGAGAAGAGTGCGGCGCAGCGCTGCAATGGGCCTCAGTGCTCTGCTGCAATGCGCGGCCAGTGCTGCTGAGGGATATTCCCAGGCGGGCCAGTAGGTTGGCGCCCCGATTCGTATGCAGCTTGCTGCGGATCCAGGGCGCATGCGCTTACTCTGCAGGGGGGCTTCAGAAACAGGCGCCCGAAGGGCGCCCCGATTTTTCGCACAAAGTCTCACGGTGGGCGCGCGGTGGGCGACATCTTTGGCAGATGGCCCACTTTTGGGCCGCCCAGCGGCCCAGCGTGCCAAGCGTGCCCGCCGATCCAATTCTGGAGAGGCTATAAACTTTCCTATTATAGTGATGCGGTGGAGGAGTAAAAAGATCAGGCTAGTGGTTCTTCTCTTGCGATAAGTCGCGGTAGCGAGCTGGTGGCGAGTGTTTGCATCGTGTGTTCACGCGGAAGGAACGGGTCTGGATCATATTTCTTTCTTTAAACTAGCTGGCGACGATTCTGGTGGTTCGTCTGGAGTAGTGGTAGGAGGAGATCATGGAGTTGAGCAAGATCGTGGTGGTGGATGCTGGTCGCCGTTCGTTGATTCTAATACTTCTTCTACATGATCGCCGTCGTCTTTTTATCATTGGAGCAGCCTCACCTTCCTCGCAGATTCGATTTTTTAAATACTGAAAAAGTTAAAGTAATAAAACGTCCGCAAAGCAGCATCTTCCTTCTACACGATGTCCGACCACGTTGGCGGAGGTTCCTCTACACCGGCGGCCAATGGCACCAAGCGCGACCGCGCTGGGGCGGGGTTGCTGAATACCCCCCCGAAAGAGGAGACGAAGGAGAGTCCCACTGTTGGGAGCATGTTTGCTGACCTCGCTGGTGATCAAGGTGATGCGCAGGAGACGTTGGGCGTGGGTCTGCGGGTATTAATCATTTTTTTCTGGTTTCTCAGTCGTGTAGATATCGAGGTAAAATCTGTGGTAAAACGTGTGGTAGTGCAGGGTCGCTTTAGTTGCTAAATTCGTGCTAAATCAGCAGGGGGTTAGAAATGTCGCGCAATTTCCTTAATAGTAACACTTGGGGCATTTTTTTAGCACCCGCCCGGCCCTGCACTACCACACGTTTTAGCACCTAATTTAGCAACTCATTTAGCACATTATTTAGCACATTACTTCGCAGCTTTTTTAGCAATCAATTTAGCAGGTGTAGAATTTAGCATGCCAATTTAGCAGCTCACTTGGCAGCTTATTGAGCACGTTATTTAGCGCCGTGCTTAGCATCAAGTTTAGCAGTCTAATTAGCAGCCTGGTCCATTTTATCTCCGTCGGTTTTTTATGAGGTATATACTTTATCTCCTCCTCCTCCTATTTCTTATCAACATCGGTTTCCGGTTGTCTTTATGCCACTACTTTTTCTGGTTTTCCATCTTTTTGGTGTGTCGATTTTTCTTTCTCCTCATCGTGATTCCCAAGCCACTTCTTACAGGCCGAAGGAGACGCCATGTTCGTGGATGTGAGCACCGCCGACAAGATCGGAAAAGTACGCAATTCCGCGCGTCAACGTGTTGAAAAAGAACTCACTGGCGATGACGAAAAGGCCAAGGAGGACGCCGTCTGGGAGTCACTCAAGAACAAAAATAGGAACGGCAAGAATTGGCGCTCCAACACTGAGGCCCTGCGGAAGCCCTTGATCAGCGACAAGTCTTCGCCCGGTGTTTTGTTGACGCCCTCTCAGTACTTGGCCAAGCACATCGGGAAACGCCGCACGACCTTCAAGAGCTTGACCTTTAAGGACAAGGTCTGGGAGGTCGTTCACGCTCCCATCCACGCCGACACTCGCGAACAGGCTGAGCAATATTGGGAAACAGTCCGCAGCAGTGTCGCTTTGATCTTCGGGATCGACAGCGTGGAGCAGCAAAATCAAGAACTCACGAAGTTTCTCTGGCTACATGCGGAGGCTCTGCGTGAGAAAGATGGCGACCAGATGAACCTCATGTCTGGCGACGACGGTATGGGTCTGGGGGGACCTCCTTGCACTTCTACCACTTCCAACGCTACGTCTACAACTACCACCGCGACTACTACTTTTGCTTCTTCTTCCACAACTACCGCTACCACCTCCACTTCTGCCTCTTCCAAACAAGTCGGTCCCAATTCTGGTAGTTCTTCTTCGGCTGCTCCTGGTGCTTCGTCTTCGACTACATCCAACGTTGGCATCCCTTTTGCTGGTGGTGCTCCAGGTCTTTCTCTTGGTGGACCCGGTGTTGATGTCAATAGTTTGAGCGATGAGTCGCAGTATGGTGATTTGTCTCCCAATACGCAGGCTTTGACGCAGCAGTGCAATGTTGCGCTCGATACGAAGGCGGACATTGCCGAGCAGCACGCTACTGCTGCTGATTTGAACAAGCAACAGCTCGGCGTCGCTCTCACGGACAACGAAGTTGGCGACTGGGATGCTGGTCGTGGTTTGTTGGGCTTGATCAAAAAGCGTGACTCCGCTGGAAACGCGGAGTTGTTGCGCGCAGTCTACTCGGTGGCGCTCTATGGAGGACGTACTTTCTTTTTTGGTTTAACGATGTTGCTCGGGGTTACAAGGCTTCGATCCTCCTTATCGGTTCTCATCTTTTTCATTCTTGCGCAACGTAATAAAGACGAGGCATGTTGCTTGAATTTTCGCTCATCTGGTCCATATTATTTTCGTCTCCTCTTCCAGGTGTCTACATTAAATTAATTCGGCGGCGTACGACAAAATCGACAAGGCCCTCTGCAAGATGTTGGTGAGCCGCGCCTCCCACGGATACACGACGCAGGACTTCTTTATCCGGTATTTTTTACTTGTTTATATTCATCTCATAGCGTCCGGCAATTCCTTAGGTTTCTGTTAGGTCTACTTCGTGACCCATCTACTAGGACTACAAAACGCCACCACTAGTCTCATCTTCGTATCTTCTCCGTCTGCTCATTCTATCTATCTATCGCAACAGCCTCCAGGTTCACCGACGAACTGAATCAATGCGCCCCAGGAACGGCTCGCGCCTATGGTTATCTGATGGAGCACACCAAGGACAAAACCCTCAAGCTGATTGGCGCGCAGTATTCCGAGGCACGCGACATCCTCGACCAGGTCGAAATCAAGTCGATCTTTGTGAACTACGACGCTGCTACTCGCGCTAAGGCTACCGAGATGGACGGCCACCAAAAGACTCGCGACGTGCATAAGTTTACTCTGTTTCTGTCGTTCACTTAGTGGGGCACTTTTTCTAGTAGTGTGCCGACTTACTAACTTGAGCGTCGTTCAGTCTATCGCTGCTTGTTTTTCTGCTTGTAGGTTTTAACTTTTTGGTGTTTTTATTTGATGTGAGAGCTTCTCGGGATTTTCTTTCTTCGTGGATCAATCTTCCTAAACAAACTCAAAACCAGTTGCTGCGCCTGGTTGGTGAAGCGGTTAAGAACCGAACGGTTCTCAGCGAGAAGGAGATCAAGGGCATCAGCCTCGGACTGAGCAAGGAGCTGGACGCTTCCCGTGCGGCTGGCAACGCTGGAGGTTTTTGCGGCATTTTGATGGCCGCGGCTCGCGAAGTTGGTGTCAAATTTCATTTCGATTTCGTGGCTGACGTTTTTCTATGCAAGAAGAACTTGGAGGGCAGCAACATCATGCCCAACCTGGTCATGCCCTTGACCGTGTTCCAGAACGTTCGCTGTGCCCGCGAAGATGGCAAGCGCATCCTTTCGAACATTTTGCCGCATGAGGCTTCCAAGTATATACTTATCTTCGATGTACTTAGTTTCTTGCTGTCTCCTAATCAGCTGGCCTGAGTTCGCTTCTGTAGTGGAGGTAGAGGGATTTTGACTTTTGAAGATAGGTTTCCACTTTGTGTTCTTTTGGTTCTTATTTCCTAGTGTTGCTTCCTTCGTCGGCTTATTATTTTACATCTCTATATATTTTTAAACATTCACACCCAGGCTTCGTCTGCTGACGGAGATGCGTCGCCTCGCGTCTCCCGAGCTCACCGCGGAAATTTTGTCGTTGGAGACTGCGGCTGAGAAGTTGAATCAGGAGCAGTGCAACATTCTCAAGGCTTGCGAGGCGGAATTTACCATTCCGCTTACCTGGGTCTTTGGTGGCAAGTGGGATGGCGCTGCCCGCAAGATGCAGGACTTTCTGGGTGCTTCCCTCCATGAACGCTTGCAAACCTGCCGTCTCGGTTTGATCGAAGGAAATGAGGAGGAGAAGATCGTCCTCGACTACGCCAACCGCCTCGCCGGAAAAAATGGCATGAAGCCAACCAACGTGGGCCCCATTCTGAGCAAGTTCGCCCAACTCGTAGCGGCAATTTCCGAGGGCAATCCGACTCCCGCAGGTATTAGCTTTATCCTATAGATTCGGTCTTCGTTGTTTTTGTAGGTATATCTCTCTTTCTCTGCCGCTTGAGGCTTTGCTTCGTCTCGACTGGGTAGTGTTGTCGTTCTCTCTTGTGGTCTCTTTTCGCATGCTTGTGCGATTATTTTGAGATAATTAATGATGTTCTTATCTTACTTGTGGAGGCTCCCCTTCCTTTTTAATTTTTCAAGTCGCCACTTTCTCTGCAGCCGTTTCCGCCGCTGAGAACTTGCAGCAGGGGCTGCGCTTTGGTGTGGTTTTTTTCGCCGAGCAGAACGACGCCAAATGCCGGGAGCTCTCCCAGAAGCTCACCCTTGCGATGGCTGCATCCGCGGAGAAGATTGCGATGCAAAACGCTAAGGCCCGTGGGTTGGTCAACGCAGTCAAGGGCACGAAGT